TAAAGAAAGATTTCGTTTAAAACAATGAAAATATTGAATAACTGACGCCAGAAATGGATTCAGAGGTACAAAATTAGTAGAGAAACCGAATTTCACTTAGAACTGATTTTTTTTGACTTCATTTTTTCGACATTTTGAAATTTTCAGAATTGAGGCCATATCAAGGTACTTAGGACTTCGATTTGTCTGAAACTTGCTTGCATTAGTAATTTGACCCTCGCAAACAAGAATTAGAGCCCAAAAGATGTCTCCTAAAATTCCTAACTTTTTTTTGATTTTTTTGAATTTCGAATTTTCCGAAAAATGACTGTTCGACAAATCCGTTTGTCAATTTCAAACGAACGTAAAATCCAGCCTAAAAATCAACCAGTGCAACTAAAAAAACTTCAAGATACTAAATAGTCAAAATTAGAACCCGGGATCATTGGCTATTCCGGACTTATGGGGCGTCAAATTTTAAATTTGGTTTTTGAGTATGAGTTAAAGAAAGATTTCGTTTAAAACAATGAAAATATTGAATAACTGACGCCAGAAATGCATTCAGAGGCACAAAATTAGTACAGAAACCGAATTTCACCCAGAACTGATTTTTTTTTTTTGACTTCATTTTTTCGACATTTTGAAATTTTCAGAATTGAGGCCAAATCAAGGTATTTCGGACTCTGTTTGGCCTGAAAATTGCTTGCATTAGTAATTTGATCCTCACAAATAAGAATCAGACGTCGAAAGATGTCTCCAGGACCTTCTTTGGTTGGTCCGATTTTATGGGGCGTCAAAAAAGATATCGTTTTAAAGATTCAACAACTGAGAATCAATGCTAAGCCAAAAACGGACTCAGCGGTGTAAAATTAGTCCATAGAAATCGAATTTCAGTCATCAGATTGATTTTTTTTAACTTCATTTTTTCGATCATGTCAAGCTCCCTTAAATAGACTTCGATTTGTCTAAAAATTGTTCGTTTTAGTAATTTGACTCTCCTGAACACGAAACAGACCTCAAAAGATGTCCTCGGGATTTTTTCTTATTATTATTATTTTTTTTAATTAAGAAAAATGACACCGTCCAATAAATCCGTTTGTCGATTCTAAATGAACCTAGAGTCCGTGCTGAAAATCAATCAATTCGATACAAAACTTCACGAAATTGAATGATGAAAATCGAAACCCGGAATTTTATGTTGTTCTGGGCTTATGAGCTTTCAATTTTGAAATTTGGTTTTTGAGTAGGTACGGAAATTTTTTCAAGTTCATTTTTTCGAATTGTGAAATTTTCAGGATTGAGTTTATATCTCGCTTAAATGGACTCTAATTTGCCTGAAAATTGGTCACTTCAGTAATTTGACACTCCTGAACAAGAATTACAATTTATATTAAAAGATGTCTCCGGAACCTTCTGGTTTTTTTTTGGATTTTTTTTTTTCAAATTTTGACTCTTGCGAAAAATGACACCGTCCGATAAATTCGTTTGTCGACCTCGAATGCACATAGAATCCGTCCTGAAAGTCAATCAGTTGAATGGTCAAAACCAGAACCCAGAATTTTGGGCTGTTGAGGACTTATAGGTCGTCAAATTCTGAATTTGGAGTTTGAGTATGACGAAATAAAGAAAGATTTCGTTTAAAATTGTGAAAATATTCAATAACCGCAACGGATTCAGAGGTGGAAAATTAGTCTAGGTATAAACCAAATTTCAGTCATCAGATCGAATTTTTTTTGAATTAATTTTTTCGACATTTTGTTGAAATTTCCAGGATTTAGAATATTGTCAAACTCGTTGCTCGTTTTAGTAATTTGACTATATTGAACAAGAATTAGAGCTCGACTGTTGTCTCTGGAAGCTTCTGAATTTTTTGGATTTTTTTAAATATAAACTTCTGAAAAATTACATCGTCCGATAAAAAAATCCGTTTGTTGATTTCAAAACGAATGTAGAATCCAAATTGAAAATCAACAAATGCGATTAAAAATCCCAAGAAATTGGGTGGTGAAAACCGGAACCCGGAATCTCAGGCTGTCCCGGATATAAGGGGGCCAAATTTGGTTTTTGAGTATCGGTTAAAAAAAGATTTCGTTTAAAATAGTGAAAATATTCAACAACTGACGCCAGAATCAGACTCAGCGGTGCAAAATTAGTCTAGAAACCGAATTTGATTTAGATGGAATTTTTTTTGACTTTATTTCTTCGAATTTTGAAATTTTGAGGCTTAAGTGAGCTCCGATTTGCCTTGAAAATTTATCAGTTGGACTAAAAGACTTCTAGATTTGAATAAGAACTTAGTCCAAAATTTTAGGCCGTCAAATTTTAAATTTGATATTTGAGTAGGTATTGGATAAAAAAGATTTCGTTTAGAATAGTGAAAATAGTCAAAAACTGATGCTAGAAACGGACTCAGCGGTCAGATCGGAATTGTTTTTTTTTTACTTAATTTTTTCGAAGGGATTGTGAAATTTTCAGGGTTTATCAAGCATTATTTTCGCTTAATTGGACTCCGATTTGGCTAAAAATTACCCACTTCAGTGATTTGACGCTCCTAAATAAGAATCGCAGCTCAAGAGATGTCTCCTGGGCTTCTTGATTTTTTTTTTAATTTTTTAAATGCTCGACATTTTCGAAAAGTAACACCGTCCGATAAATTTCTTTGTCGACTCCAAACGGACGAAGAATCCGTCCTGAAAATCAACCAATACGACTAAAAAACTTCAAGATTTTGAATGGTCAAAACCAGAACCAGGAATTTTAGGCTGTTCCGGATTTATGGGCGCCAAGCGCTGATTTTCTTTATTTTTTTTTAATTCTCGAATCTTCCCAAAAATGAGATCGTCCGATAAATCCGTTTGTTGATTCCAAAAGTACCTAGAATCCAGCTTCAAAGTCAACCAGTGCGACGAAAAACTTCAAAATATTGAAAGGTTAAAACTATTAGAACCCGGAATTTTAGGCGGTTTTGAGTATGGGTTAAAAAAAGACTTCGTTTAAAATTGTGAAAATAAAATAAAACAAAAAACAGACATTGTGAAAAACCCTACGCGATTGAATTGTTTAAATATCTTTCCATTCGTTCCGAAAAAATACGTCGCATGTCGCCAACGATTAAAAACTTTATTAATTAATTAATTTATTCTTCATGTTTACCAAATAATTTACAACAAAAGCAGTATCCAGATTTTTTTCAAAGCAAATTAACTTAAAAAAACTTCAGTGTTGTGATTCATACATTTTGTCAAATTGACACCTCTGTTATTCAATTCTTTGATCAACCACTAAAAACCTCGCAGAAATAGCAATAATTATCGCATCAATTAGGAGTCACAAATACTTTCCTACAATGATGCAACCCGACATTTAGAACTTTAATTATCACACTCAAATTAGTGCCACCTCATCCCAATTACACACACGTTTTTTTTCCCTTCCAAATCCCCCAAAACAGAATTAGAAAGGCGCAAACCCACCCATCCGTGACAAAGCAAGCGTGAAATTCTTGACCCGAAAATCCATCACAACCTCACCGAATTATGACAAACTGTCAGGTAATGCACCTCGACCACAATAATAAAGCAGCATTCCACTCAAAATCCATAATTTTGTGAGAACTCCGTCTCCGGCAGCACTTAGCCGCTCACCTAAATGTAGCATGCTGTTCCACACAAAACCGCATTCGGCATTATGTTTTCATCTCGTCGCACAAGAATGGAGTTAAAAAGGCTCCATTGTTGCATGTATCCGTAACAAAACTAATCGCATACGACAGCCGGTGTGTAAATAGCCCAGTAATAGAGCTCGGATTTAGATGGACCGGCGATAAACCAGCGCTCCGCACAATCGATAACGAAACGATTTATTTGCAGCCAGTTGCTCCTAAACACTCCACAATCGATTTCCTATGAAGATTAGAACACTCGAGAGTGCACGGACGAGAAATTCCAGGTAAAAAAAAACGTATAAATATATTTTTTTAATTCAAACAGTCAAACAGTGAGATTAATTGATAATAAACTATGAGTTTTCTCAGGTGCTGGTGAAGATCCGTGTTGATCTTTTCCGGCTATAAAAGTTCGGATGCGATACATCAGCTGTGGCATCGTCGGTGAAGGGTTGTAGAGAACGAGTGCAAAGACGATTGTTGTCAACAGCAACACTCGGAACCACTTGATGTAATGCGAGCTCTTTGATTATATTATGATAATAGAGCGGCGGTGGCGTCGGTCCGACTTGGAGCACGCTCTCTGATGCTACAAGGGCTCTCTAGCACCGCTCCCAACAACCTTTGATGACCCGACCAAGAGGACCGACTGACCGTGGTGAGGACCTCTCCATGATGCAACCCATTCGTGTACTCAACTTTGCACTTTTCTGAACTGATTCGGAGGGTTGTTGGAATTAATAACGCGGATTTACAACACATTGACACGTTCGTTGACTAATTTAATGCAGTGTTTTTGACCTCAGTGGACGTAATCCAAGGAACTATTGTCCTTTTGGCGAATGAATAGTTCATGTTTTCTCGATTTCAGGGTCTGTAGACGGAAATGTCTCCCGTTTCCGGCTGTCTGTCTGTCGGTTGGAGATTTTATTAGATAGATAATCAGTGTGTCGTGCAGATGTTAAAACGTTAAACACCGACAATTTGATGACATTTTTTCGCCCTTTTTTTGTCGCGCTTTTTGGCCTAAAGCACGAAATAATGTTTTAATTAGTGTTATATTATAGATATTAAAGTTGATTTAAAGTCATTTAAACAGTCACATACAAAAGGTGTTATAAAGGTGTTATGATCTATTTTTTTTTTATATAAAAACGCGCCCTTACATGCAGGGGGTATTAATTAAGCTTCTTTAAATTATTATTTTTAATAAATCAGTAGTGGATATTGTATAACAACCAACTATACTTATCTGTATTTTGGGTTGCCGAATATACCTGCGTATAAACCACGTAACAATTTTTTACCGTTGCGACATCTATGAATCAACTTGGCTTGATAAAGTGGAAAACTGTTTTCGTATATAACATGACGAAAAAGTGAGGTTACGGTTTTTTTTTTAAAACACTTAAAAAGTTGTAAATAATGGCCTCACAATTATTAAATGTAACAAGAACGTTATCCAAATTATCCCTTAATACAAAATGTAGGTTAGGTAATACCCTCATAAAATTGGAACAAGAATTGGCACCACAACCCCTATTTAGTAACCCATCTCGAAACACAAACTTCTTCAACAAATGTAAGTCTTCTCCTTGCGTAAGTTCCGTCATAATTAGTAATAAATCCAGTGCCTGCCCATGATCTTTGGAAAGGAATCACCTCGGTCAGTAACGCCGGTAAAAAACGAGGCCGTGGCAAAACCGTCTCGAAGAAAAACATCAAAGACTTAAACAGAGGACAAATCATAGGAGTCGGTAAGTCATTCCCACACGCAATCTAAGGCAAAACAACGACTTTCGTCACCACTAGGCAAAGCCAACATCGTCTGGCCAGGCCTCACAGCCCCCATTATAAGAGGCAAAGAAATCGTCGAACAACAACAACTACCGGAAGACCCCGAGCGTCAAAAAAAACTAGACGCGCTACGCGACCAGATGGGAACCCACCGCTACGCCAAACTAAGCCCCATCGAGCGAGGCTGGTCTGGGGCTAAAATGCCCGGACGCAGCATCGGCCCCCCTGACCCCATAGGCGAAGGTAAACCCCCTACTTTTCACCTTCAAAAAACTAATTTTTTTTTTTAGAGATTTTCACCGGCTTTGACTCGAAAGTCATCGAACTCAAAACCGTCTTCAACATGAAAGGCAACTTCGGGCGCAAGCGCCGCGTCTCCGCCACCGTGGTCACCGGCAACCAAAACGGCGTCGCGGGCTTCGCCAACGGCAAAGGCCAAGAACCAAAAACCGCCCTACGCAAAGCCAAAAATCGCTCAGGACAAAAACTCATGCACATCAAAATCTTCAGAAACCACACCGTTTACCACAATTTCTTCACTCAGTTCGGCGCCACGAAGATTTTCGTCCAGCAGAAACCAGAAGGGTACGGTTTGGTTTGTCACAGAGCCATTAAAACTATTTGTGAAGTCGTGGGAATTAAGGATTTGCATGCCAAGGTCGAGGGGTCGACTAGTGTGACGCACGTGATGAAGGCCTTCTTCTTGGGGTTGATCCGGCAGAAAAGTCACGAGGAAATCGCGGAAAGCAAGGGGCTGCATCTGGTGGAGTTTTGTAAGGAGAATGGGTATTTTCCGACGGTGTTGGCGTCCCCGGCGAAGTGCAGGAGTCCAGATGAGATCAAGAACGACGAAATTTTGGATTTCACGCAGTACTGTTACGACGGGAGGGTGGTTTTGAAGAAGAAGAAACATCCCCCGTTTTATACCAAACATAAGTCGTACGAAATTTATTTGAAGAAGCAGGAGAAATTGAGGAATAAGGAGGAGGTGAAGATGAATTTGATTGCGCAGTATGGGGAGATCAGGAGCTTCTTGACGGAGAAGTATCCAGAGTGCAGGCCTTACAAGGAACCTAAGAAGGAACAAGCAGAAGAAGATAGCAATACATAGAGATGATTTTGTATAAAGTTAAAATGTTTCCTTTCTGTATTGACTCAAATAAATCTAAGATTTAAGTACTTGGTGATTTGTTCATTTACACTTTTACGATTGATGGCATTTTCGAACTTGAAATGTTCGAATTATGTGAGTTTACTTATTTGGTGACACACTCTGTAGATGATTCGTTGTGGGACACTCTGTACAATAATCAAAACAAAAGCATTACGCAGCGCCTAGATGGCGCCGTCTGTTTCTGTCAAAGTTGTCTGTCAGTTTAGCAAAACAATGCTGCTTACATAAAGGCGCAGTGCAGCGAAAACTCTTTCATTTATTTCTTCTGAAGTCCCGGGAGTGACGTGCAATCTATTCGCTTCGAAATTTTGGAAAATTCTCGATCCGAAGTTTCGCTGCTAACTTCACGCCGTGAATGTGCTTGTCAGCTGTCACAACGGACCAGTTCTGCCATTGACACTCAACTTCCACAAATGGTGGTTTTCGATGGCGCAAGATGTGTTCAGCAAAATGGCTGAGGATCCTTGGTTATTAAATGAAGACGGCTACTTAAATGCGGACACCGACATCAAAGAGATCATCTACCACCCGACCCTGAACGTTATCCTGATATGCACCAACAGTGGGATCGTCCGAGTCCTGGACGTCAACTCGGGTGTTGTTCTCCAATCCAGCTATCTCTCAGGTGAGGAAAAAAGCGAGGAAACGTGGGGTAGAGTGCAAGTGGGGGATTTTTCAGCAATAAACCAGAACGAAGTAACGTGCAAGTACATTCCCGGTCAAGATAGAGTGCTATTTTGCGATGGACAGGCCATCGGAGTCAGGTCGGACTACAATAGTGTTCTTTTACTCGACAGTATTCTGCAGAAACCAGTATCGGACGCGAAGAAGGAAATCAAGCTGGAACTTCCCCTTTCAGAGGTAAGCGCACGCTTTTCGCCTCAAACAAACTAACAAAACTCTGCAGGCCATCATCTTGAAGCAAAGCTTGACTTCGGCCAACGTTAGTGGAATAGAACATGTGATAAACGAACTCACGGACGTGATTCTCAACGCCCAGAAGCAGTCAAAGAAGGGCATCAAAGCCCAAAAGGTACGAACACGTGCTGCGTACTTTTCACGATCGCTTGCTTTACCTCGCGCTGTTTCAGTGGAACACGGTATGCCTCCAACTCCCCCTAGACATGCTCCAGAGCGCCGCGATGAGCAGCGTTTCGGAACTACTACTAAAAAACCAACACACACCGGAACTGAGTGTTGCGTCAGCTGTGCAGGAACGTCTGTCTGAGCTAAGCGGTGAACAAGGAAGCGCTTCGGATCGCAGATCCATGGCTAGCGAGGCTAAACGACGGGAGACGTTCTCGCACTGGCCGCACATGGACTACAAGTGAGTGTTTACTTTGTCTTGAGCGCGACCTTGAGGCGATGATTCATTGTTTCAATGTGACCTTGAATTGATTATTGATTCGGCGAGGGACGTCTATTTTTTATTAACAACCAGAACAGTTTCATTAAGAAGTTTAAAATTTAAATTATTCTCATTATGAGTAGTTTGCGGATACGTCACCTTTCGAAAACGAACGAAGTTTATGTCACTAGTTACAAATCAAAAGTAGGGATTTTTTTTTTGTTGAACCAAAATTGTAGAAATGTTAAGATCATTTTAGACGCAGAGTTGGGGACAATTTGTTGCTTGTTTATATAAATGTTTGCACAAAATAGTTCCACTGCTTGGATAAATGACAAGGAGTAAACAAAATGTTTAACATCAGAACGTTTCATGTTTAATTCAACACACATTTGTTATCCAATGTTGTTTAAATGAATTATCAAGCCAAGTTGCCTTTGTCCCTACTTGCTATAAACCGTTATACTTCTAAGTATTTGCCAGTTCTGCGTACCGATACATGTGATACATTCTACATATTAAAATTTAAATAAGTCTAGGCGTATAATTCTCGATGTCGATTACTTCAGAGACTAAGGAAGTTCCAAAGTATTAATCGCACAAGTACAACCATGGTAAATTTTCGTTCCAGATGGGCCCTGCCCGACCAGATGGCCCAGGCCGGCTTCTACCACCAGCCCAACGCGTCCGGCGACGACCGCGCCATGTGCTTCACCTGCACCGTGTGCCTCGTCTGCTGGGAGCGCACCGACGAGCCCTGGAGCGAGCACGAGCGCCACTCCCCCAACTGTCCCTTCGTCATGGGCGAGTACACCCAGAACGTGCCGCTGTCGGTGACGTACGCCACGAACCCGGCCATCGACGCCACCTACCGCGGGGTCAACGTGCGCGTCCTCGGCACCTCGACCGTCAGCAGCCTGCTGCCGACGGCGAACGCCGAAGGCCTCATCTCCGTCTTCGACATCTCTGGCAAGATCTGCAGGACGCACTCGTTCTTCGTGACGCAGTTCGACTCGCACATCCTCGAGAAGTACACCCAGGACTTCGGGGTGCCCGGCACGTGGAGCGACGTCGACGAGGTCAAGTACCCGGCGGAGAAGAGGATCACGGCGCTGTCGATCGTCGGCGATAGGAGCGGCTGCGCGGAGGCGGCGACCGCGCGACCGACCATCATCTGCGGCCTCCAGATCCGGTGCAGGTCGAAATACCAGTATCCGGTGATCGGGAGCTACGACGACCAGAACAAGAACTCGATGGAGGTGGTGGACACGGCGACGACGTCCACGAACACCAGTTGCTTGTATTTGGTGGTGTACGATTTCATGTATAGTAAGGAGAAGGACGAAACGGATAAGGATAAGAAGGCGCCTGAGGTGACGACGGTGAGCGAACCGCCTCCGAAGAACGAAACGACGGACGAAAACCAGAAGAATAGTAGCTATCATGTGGTGCACCCGGACGTCTTCGTCGAGCATTTGTCGTCGATTTATAAGACGTTGATTCCGGGAGAGAGCGACGAGGTGTTTTTGCCGCCTCCGATGCTCGTGAATAAACCCCAGCAGCACTCGGGGCCGCGTGTCCTTCCCATCGACATGCAGATCTCCGAGACGGACGCCGCGCAAACCGAACCCTTCATCATCAACCAGGACTATTCGTTCATGAACGGACAACTAAGCAGTATTCTGTCGGAGACGTTCGAGAAGAGCATCTCCGACCACATCACCGAGTTGAAAAACAGCAAGACTACGAAGAAGCTGAATTATAGTCGGGCGGTGCAGTGTGTTTCGTTGCCGGTTCAGTACAAGAACCGGTGTGACCTGGAGGTGTCCGATATAATGGCGACGCAAGACGGACGGCACGTCCTCGTGGTCGTGAAGAGCTGCGCGGACGAGAAGAGCGCGTTGATCACCTACGGGTTGGACTTTACGCAGAAGATGGTGAAGCTCATGGAGGAGCCAGTCTTAGTTAGAGAGTTAAACAATAACGAGAAACCGGTGGAAGTCAACATGCTACCGGTTATTGACAAGCTGGGGGATTTCGGCGAGAAGAACGGGGCTGTGGGGAACGTCGTCATGGTGTGTGTGGACGGGGCGGTGCGAATCGTCGATCTATCGAGCATGAAGACCATCTGCATGGCTCAGCTAGAGAGCGAGAAATTCGTATCGGCGGCTTATTGTAACAGTAAGTTTGAAATTTTTGTTTTAATTTCGATAATAGCGGTGCTCCAGGTCTAGAACGTTTGTGCGCCTCTACGGAGCGCGGCTCTCTTCATTTCTACGCCCTCAACGACACCGACAACGAATCGTCCGAGGACCACGAGGACGACGATCTCTTCGCCATGGCTACTGACGGCGCCGTGCCCAACCCCTCGCAACCGGCGGATTCGCTCGACGGGAGTGAGATGACTCGGTGCTTCCACGACCCGCCCGAAATCGTCGGTCTCGCCGACCTGAAGCGCCTCCACGCTCTGTGTCAGTTCGAGCCGCTGAAGGCGGGGTACTGCGCCGTGGTGCCGCCGTGCTGGAGCGAAATCCAGCAGGCGCAGAGGCAGCGACGTTACCCGCAGAGTCTCAAGGCCGATTGTGACCAGTACACTAAGACGTGGAGGCTGCAAACTGACACCACCACCTGGGACGAGCACATCTTCGAGATAACGTTGCCGAGTCCGATGGCGCTGGGTCACGTGGACGTGCACTTCAGTCTCCAGTCGTCGACGGTGTCGCCGCACGTGGAGGTAATTATAAAAGTCGTAGAAGCTCCATTTTGACGTGGTTCGGTTTAGGTGACGCTGCTGCGACAAAACACCAGCGGGATCGGGCACAAGAAGGACGTGAAGTTCGCCGTGGACGAGACCATCACCATAGACATGTTGCAGCAGTGGGCCGACAACCCTGTGATCAGTCAAGAGTACTTGAGGGCGCACAACGCGGATATTTTAGCGGGGCCGGTGAACATAGCGACTTGTTTGGACTTGTCGGAGCAGTGCGGCGTGGTCACGTTGACGAGCCCCAAGTTGTTCAAGTCGAGGAACAGGACTTTGCTTTTGCACATCCGCGCGGTTTATTCGAAGGAGGAGGCGAACAATAAAGCGGGTTCGAAGGGGAAACGGGCCGAGAGCAAGGAGAAGTCGGGTCAGTGCGCCTCCCACAAGAACGAGTTTTACATGGGTTGTGATTGCATTCACGAGTTGAGTGTTACGGTGTACAGTTCCAAGCACACGGAGGTTCCTCACGAACGGACTCAGAGGAACCTCATGTTGGAGTCGAACGCGTTCGTGCAGAGTTTGTTGTTGACGGCGATGAACAATTCATCGAACGAGGTGGTGACGTTGTCGTTGGACGTGCTGAATTGGATCGCCTCGATTCGGCTGATACGGAACAGGAGCAACAACGGCGAGGTGCCGAACCAGCAGATGGAGTTCCTCTATGTCATCGAGTACAACCTGGCGAAGTTGCTGCAGCAGTGTTTGCTCCTAGGTGAGAGAAGCGTGGCGCACAAGTGCATGAAGCTGGTGGAAGTCTGCTGCAAGTAAGTAGAAACCTGGTGGGAGTCAATGTCCAGGTGCTAACCCCGATTTTTTTAACAGCGGCGCTAAAAACATGAACGAATCCAGCCGCTCCCGCTTCGAATTCAACATCCTCAAGGCGCTTCTTTCGCTTCTGAATACTATAACCGAGGTGCGCTCTCCCGGCGGCCTTCAGTGGATATTCGCCCTCCTCCTCAAAGTCACGTCGAAGAACGCCCACTACGTCGCCACCAAGTGCGTCACTCTCTTAAACAAAATGTCCGAGGAGCTGGAGAGCCGGACTAACCCGTACCATTTGCTGCTTCGCAGTCGGTACGGCCTCTACGGTACGCCCCTCGAGCTCGAGCTCTTCGACATAGAGCCACCTCCGTACGCCAAGAGCAGCAGCACTTACGTGACGTACGCGTCCGCGGTGGCCGGCGACAACGCCAACCAAGGCGCCGACTTCTTCGACACGTACTCGTTCAACAAAGAGAGCATTAACCCCAAGGACGTGCTGTCCGGCACCGAGACCAAGCTGAAGTGGCGCAACCTCGCGCCCCCCAAGATCTATAGAGGCTTGATCGAGACCGAGTGCCTTCACTTCACTTGCGTCTCGGCGAGCGAAGGGACGCGGCTCGAGAGAGCCGACGCCTCCAACAGCATAGTCATAAACGAGATTCCGTTCTCGATGACGCCGTTCCACGGACAAGGTTCGTTCAACAAGCTGGACGCCAACACGATTAAACAATTGGCTGATATCATTACAGAAGACTCGTCGGTCGCGTCGAAAGAGTTCAAGTCGAGCGCGAACTCGCAAGCGACCACGTCGGGGGCGGTGAATTGGGAGGATAACGATTATCAGGTGTTCATCGGGGGGCTGCCGGTGGACGTGGGGAACCATTTGTTGAAGAAGCTGGGTGAGTGGCGAGGTGCGGCAGCGCGAGGGGCGCCGCTAACGGAGCCTGTTTCAGACTCGATGTACCAGGATCTGAAGACGATGGAGAACAAGAACAGCGCGATGAAGAACATCTGGCAGCCGGAGAGTCTGCTGTCGTCTCCCAGCAGTAACAGTTTGCCCTGGCAACACTTATTAGTAACGCCACCACAACAAGTTATAGTTGTAGAGAGAATGCACTCGGGAGCGCGGAGGTTCGTCACGCTGGACTTCGGTCAGCCGGTGCTGCTGACGGACATACTGCTGCCGGCGTGCAACGACCTGGTGTCGGTGAGCATCGACATCTGGCTGAAGAGCGAGGACGTGGACGGGACGCGGCTGGTGGTGGCGTCGGACATCGGCTCGAGGAACCTGGTGCTGAACGACCTCCAGCCGCCGCCGCTGTGCCGATACATGAAGGTAACTTTACGAACTGTCGTTGATACCTGTTTAATTGGTTGCATAACTACACTGCATAATCACAGATTACGGATACCAGATCGTTCACTCGAGTGTCGGCACTTTGAAGTTTATGTCCCGAGATTTCAACCGGTATTACGCTACTGCGCACGCTCTATCAAAATTGGTTCGCAAGCTTTGAATTTAAAAGCGCGGCGGTCAGAGAGAAATTACAACGATGAGGGATGAGGTTCTATGTGAAGAAAAAACAAACGAACAAAATATTTATTTGCCTTACACAAAATGATCTATGTGTATTACAAATGTTTAACATTTAGCAATTTCCTCTGAAAAGAATTGCGGCCACATGCATCGGCATTAAAAAATTTTAGGGTATAAAAAACACGCATTCTCAGAAATAGTGCTAACAAGAAAGTGGTGTTAAAATTTTCGCATGGTGGTATAAACGTAACCTTTTTAACTATATTAAATAAAAAATTAATAATTTGACCCCCATGTTTTATGGCCTGTGGTAGGTTTTCTACAAAAACGCTTTCTAATGTAGAAACGTATTCTACAAATGTTGCATGAGGCGATTGTAACCCTCCAAAAATGCTTTCAGACTTACTTTGATAACTTTTAAAATGTGAAAACATAGACTTTTTATTTAAAGATCCATTCTTGCCGTATAAAACGCAAGTGGGACATGTATGTTTTGACAAACATTTTTTATATAGGTACCCGCTGATGTAGTGTAAGATATTTGCTTTTGGCAAATCATACTCTCTTATCTCGGCAGGTAATGTTTCTATTGGTGTAGTGTCGGCTAGTTGTAACTTTTGAAAAATTGGCAGAGATATATTATCACAAGAATTTACAGCCCGGTTAAAAATATCGGAGCAATCATCATCGGCACAATTAAATGTATTTGTATGTTGAAAAAAGTTTAAAACGAATATTTTTTTGAAGGCTCTGGTAAACTGGATTGGTGTAGGATTTAAGGAATTGCCACTTTGCTGTCTTACTAAACCAAAAAAATTCTCTAAGCAATCCTGATTTAAATTTCTGGTACATATGGAAGAAAATTCCACTTGTTTTAATTCTGTATATAACATTTGCAGGCCATTAATAGATTGAATTAATCCTGGAAGACATTTAATATTGTTTGTAGCATCGCCGGTTTGCAAAAATGTTTTAATTTTTAAATTTGTTAATATGTCTTTAACTTGTTCTAATTTTTTTACCTGGATTCTTGAAGCACAAAATGCTTTTTTCATTGGATTCGGATTTTTGACATGCGTTGATTTGAAAATATCAAAACAATCATTAATCAATTCTAACAAGTGTGCAGTCCCATTAGCAGATGAGGGCAATTGGTCCATAGCAACATATGTTTTCAAGGCAGCTGCAACTGTTCGGCTAAATATTTGGGCAGCCAACCGAACACGCATTTTTTGAAAATTGTTTGGACTTATATGTTTCATAGTTAACTTAGCACAAAGTTTTAAATTCCGTCTTTTCATATCATAAAACATATTATGAATATCAGTCCATGAAGCAATCTGATCTTCGAAATGGAAATTATACTTCAATAAATTATTTCTTAATGATTTCAGCAGGTGACAAATATCATAAAAAGCTATAATTTTTTTTCCATTTAGTTCAAAATACGGGTTTTCTGGTGTTACGCCCAAATCTGCTAAAAGTTGTTGAAAGTTTGTGCCTTGGTCATTCACTAAACAGCGTATCTCAATTCCTAAAAATCACGATTCATTATTGGATCATACAAAAAATGTATCAGTGCATACCTATGGTTTCAAGTTTGGAGAGGGTATCAACAATAATTCTTTTAATTTCCTTGGCTGAACACGAGGATCCTACCAAATAGAAACAAACAGGAATTTTCCAACCACCACCAATGCTTTTTACCATCAAAGTGATGGCACTGTTAACAGGAATTAACTGATTTCGTGTGTTATCTGCTAAATCTAGAAGACCTACTATTTTATCTGTCTTTCTATTATAAAAAAGGTGACTCTTGAGTGCCATTTCGTCAACACACAGGGTGCAATATTTTTCAATTGCTTTGACATTTTCGAGTCTATGTTGTATTACTTTTAACATGTCTTCATTTAATCCAGTAGTGACAGAAATATTACTTAGTAGGCGCTGTAGCACGGTTTTCGACGGTAAACAAAACGTCTTTTTTAAAAATCGATATGCCCTGGGACTCAGAAAATACAAATACAAAGCGAACTTTTTTAATTGTATAGAGTATCGGTTCCCTCTAGAATTTGTTTGTAGACCCACCTGTAATCGCAAAAATGGTAAGCATTCAGTCGGCAAAAATTTTTTGGCTAAATCTAAAAAATCATCTTTTGTAATCTGGTCTAACGATGGAATTGGTTTTTTAATATTAAATTTCTGTTGAAGCCGTGTACTCTTTTTTTGGGAAGTATTTATTTGTTTCCGTAATTTTGCTTTACGTGGGGTGTTTGCTGATAAACTTGGAGGAGTCTGTGTTTCCTGAAATGCTTGGGCATAATTTCGTTTTCGAGGGCTCTTGAATGCGCTAGTGTTTACAGAAATCTGCAAAAAAATTGACAATTACGATTTATTTTATTTCCGTTAAAAAATATTATTAACCAAAGATTTGAAGACAAATTATTCTAGACCGCGCGCAAATTAGAATCCGAGACGCGCAGCGTGGCTTCATAAACGTGGTTAATATACTATTCTTTTCACTAGTAGAAACCGCAAGATAATAAATTGAAAAAAATATTTGGAAATGATCATCAAACAAACCTGCGATATAGTTGATACTGGACGGTCTTCTAGCGTCGATGTTACTTGTATTTTCGCACTGGTTGATGGAAAATCTTCAAGAAGAGATCTTTTTCTTTTTCGTCTATTGACTAATAAAGTGTTTGTTTGTTGTTTGTTTAAACTGACTTCTGAAGAATCACCAGACAACGGTACTGCTAGTACTTCTTGACTATTTGATGGAACACGTTGACATTGGCCATTATCAAAATATTCATGGACCTAAATTTGTAGGTACATTATAAGTAATTATGTACATCTAAAATATACTCCATATTTAAATTTTATTGTTGTACCTACCTGAGGATTGTCATTCTTTGCTATCGATGTAGAAGCATTAAATATTGAAGGAATAACATTTTTCTTTAAATTACCGTTTGGCGTATAATCTGTTGCTTTGAAATGTTGACTACAAATTCTTTTCACCGCAAAAAAATTGATGGTTTTTGTCTTTACTAAATTTTGTAAACCACACGCCTTAATCCATAGCTGTTTTCTAACAAACAAAAATTGGTTTCATTGAAACAATAGATGCAAATAAATTTGCAGAAAAATTAGAAACAATATAATAAGTCTTAGGTGAAGAGTAGATTATACTTATACAATTTTCATTCTCATATGCACCTTAATACTGTGAAGAAAAACTAATTACTGTTCTCATTCATGAATTGTTTTTTCTAAGAATAACTATCGTACATACACTAGGTGGACATCCAGTTAATTTAATAGGTTTTAACACACGTCACTTACTGTGCCAACTTTGCTGGAAAACGATGGAAACTTCTTTCCCAATTTATATGTTGAGAATTCGTACAATTTGGAATGAGACACTTCATTTTCGGCTTAAAGGGTTACCGAAAGTTAGAAGAATTGGAGGGAACAATTAATGAAATTTTCTCCGCCTACTTTTCTGAACTTTATTGTTACAGTTTTCTAACCTACCCGTCTTTATAGTGATCTTCGATTTTTGGTGGTTATTTAACACATTTTCATGTAGAAAGCGCAAACAATTGACAAATAGTTTGTCTGTAAAAGACGGGCACGATTAACAAGTTTAAAGGATAAGAAGGGAAAATGCTTTATTCTCTTATTCATTTACAAAAACAGGCATTATAGACAAGATATATTTACTAAAAGATACTGCAATACATTTTAATGCAGGTAGGTATTTATCTAACTAATTTTCTGATTATCTGAAAACTTAAAAAAAAATGGCTTCGTAACTAAAAGACGTAGAAATTAATCCTTATATTAATTATTTATTACCTGATTTATTACCTATTACTTTTATTCTCATATCTGCTTCATTGTACACATTATTTTGCTAGTTAATCTGTCGAACCAGTTTCACAGAGATTTAAAAATGCTGAACCAATTTTAGTGTCATGCGCACGGAAAATTTGCGGACAGTTACGCCCACAAGTGAACCATCTGGTATCCGTAATCTGTGGCATAATTGTCCCAGAACAAATTATTTAATTTAATTTTTTTTAGATTACTACGGTTGGTCGGTACGGGATGACCACAGCCCGCTGCCGAATCCCCACCGGGTATTTCTACGGACACGTGGTGGTCCTCCCCGAGGAGGTCCCCCCAGACTTGGCGCAAAGCGCCACCAGCTTGGCCTGTACGGACCTGGAGAAACAGCTCACCATCTTGTCTAAACTCTTCGAGGACATCAGCTGCAGGTACAGTTTGGCGTGTTCCAAACTCAAAGAATTGTTGAGGCCTTTCTTGGTCGCCGACATGAAGAACGCGTCACACTTGGCCACTTACATGAACATAATGAGAGACAAAGTGCTCAACACCAGCAACCCTGAACATAGTAAAATCTTCAGTGCCTATCAAGAGTCTATAACGTATCAGCGTCAATTAAATACAGTTAGGAACGTGATGAACCGCCTGGAAAGTAGTATTAATAAAGCACCAGTGGTGCAGAAGACTGGTAAAGATATCCCGAATACGTCGACTGATAAGTTGAGGGCCATCGCCGAAGGTTTACTCGAGGTGCTTTTGACAATCGACACCACCATTGACGTAGATCCCGTTACTTGTCGCAAACTCTTCCAAGGGTTGTGCGTGTCGCAAGCTTCACGTTTGCAACTACTAGCGGCAATCTTCTTAGACAAATCCTGTCGGACGAAAAACTACTGGGGCAACTTCCTCGCCGATACCTTGACGGAGATGTTCGCCACATCCAACACCGTGAAATTCCCCCAAGATCGCGTGTTCATCCTCCTGGCGTACTTGAGCCGAAGGAGTCCCGAACGAAGCGCGATCATCGACGCCGGTCTCAGAGTGGTCTCGCAAACTCTGAGCCCTCTCACCGACAATCGCCAGAATTTACTAGCGGTTTCCGTGGACTTGCCTCTCTTATCGTGGCTGCTGATGTACCTCTCGCTCCAACTCGACTTAAGTAAAGGTAGCCTCCAATCCGCCACCAGGTGGGACTGGGTGTTCGGAGAAATCGTCGGTAAGGCGAACGCCGAAAACTCGAAAATCAACAGTCGCAAGAAATGCTACAAACGGATGAACAAACAACAAATCGAGAACCTGGACGCCGCCCAGAAACTCGTACAATCGTCCGCTCAGGTACAGGTTTGTAGTTATTGGCGGTTGTGGTAAACGACGTGGCTTTGTCCTCCAATAAAAATTTCGTATTCCCCAGGCGCTGTCCACCCTGTCCAATCACGCCGCGTGTCTGACGTCGAAACTCGACGCCGCCTTGAAAACGCAGCAGTTTTTGATGAAGAAGGTCAAGTATAAATTTATGGATATGAAAAACGCGACTACGGAGGGTCCCCTAGCTGCTAAGAAGCTGAAGGAGACGACGTCCGCCGAACCCCCGGTGGAGAAACCCACCGAGAAGAAGATGCCGCAACATATCGACGTCACGCACTGCTTGGCCGTGGCCAAGGGGTTGCTGACGCTGGTGCTGTCCATGGACCACTCGAGCAGCGCCGACATGTTGCTGCTCTCCTTCAAGGTAAATTACAAAAAAAAAGACGTGGTGATTGTTACAATGCGCGTTTCAGGTGATGGCGCGCCTCGTCAGCATGGCCAAGATCAAACTAGGCCAACTCATGAACCAAGAGCAGCTCCTCAACCTCATCAGGTTCTGTCTAGCGTCGAAAATCCCGTGGGCCCCTCACGCCCTCGCTTGCCTCCTCCAAGACATAATGGAAAACGAAACCGAAATCGAAAACGGCGCCTCCACCAGCTGGGCAAGCAACGACTTTCTCTCGGACGTGGCAAACCTGTGCGAATTCACCGACGACGAGACCTTCGTCCCCGAACCGGTGATCCCCCTCACCATGAAAACGAACAACCAACTACCATCCGTGTACGAGTCCGACGACTCCGACCTCGAGGAGATCGTCGACGGCTTTCTAGACAAGGAATCGACCACTTCGTCGAAGAAGACACCCAAACCCACCAGTCACACTCACACCACGAATTCAGTCGCGCTAGATTCGCGTCTCGATCTCAGCGTGGACGCCTCCGCCGAGATTTCACTACGTAAACTCATCAACAAGAACACTCAAGGGTTGCTGCAGAACGTGAACGCGCCCATCCTCACCGAAGAGAGCGAGGACGCGCTGACGCCGTGGCCGACTGTGATAATGCCCTTCCAACCGGAGTCGCTCCTAGGAAACACGTCGATGTTAACACAATGCTTTGATTCGCTCTTCGAGAATCTCCAGCTGCAGGACTCGTCGAACATCGAGCACATTTTGCAGTTGTGGCTGACCTTGAATTGTCCGTACAAAGACGATAAGTTTGACCCGTCTGCGGTGCCGCAGATCGTCCTCAAGGAGAACGCGGTGAAGTCGCTCATCTCCGCCATCGCGTGGGCCCCGGGGTTGTCCCTCATCACCTGGTGCGTCGCCTTGCAGACTCTCACTCTGGTTTGCAACAGTAACAACTCGTCGGAGTCCAACTTGTACTGGTCCGACTCCCACGGGATGGCGTCGTGCATCGTGAACCACCCGGATTTCGTGCAAGTCTTCATGCGCTTGTTGTCGGGGACGGGACTCACCTTCATCGACAAGGTTTTGGTAAGCGCTTTCATAGAGTCGGAGGTGTAAACTCGGGATTGTTTTTGCAGGCGGGTCCGTCGCTTTGTAGAGCTCTGAACGACTTCCTCGATCGTCTGTTGATGAGGTGCTACGTGGAGAACCCGAGGAGCAAAACCGGGAAGCTCTTGAAGACGTTGTTGTTGAAGATCGTGCATCAGCTGGTGCAGCCGGTGGGACCGATCGCTCTACGACAAGGACCCTTGGACGTGCAGTGTAAACTGTTGAAGTCGATGTTGGACGTGGACTACTCGAACGCGGACATGACCATCGCCATGAGTATTTTCGAGAGTACGGGAGTCCTGGTGCATTCGTATTTCGTCAACGTGGATAAAATCAAGTGTATTAATATCGGGGAGAAGCACAACGTGGTCACGACGACGTTCAACGAGATCTTCGCCTGCGTAATGGGGTCGGATCCGATCAAAATGGACCTGCAGGTCTCCACCGACGTGCTGTTTTTGCGCTTGCTCAAGTTTCTAGGGAAACTAGTACAAACGCAATTCCGGCAAGGAAATGACCAACCCGTAAATACAAAAACACGTGGTGGGTTTACAAAAAAATAATGAAATGATATTATAGGAAGCCATGGACGTGGAGCCGCTGGCTTCATCGCAGACCGACGAAAGCAAAGCCGAGCAAATCCACCAGGACACGATGCGCAACCGCGGCGAGAACTTCGCCGACGTGGTTCTCCAGCACCAGCCTAGCGTCATTCGTTTGTGTCAGTCCCTAGCGGCCTGCAAATCTTCGTCGTTGTGCATGTTGGCCAACGTCTCGCAGAAGGCGGCGTTTTCGAACTTGAGCGAACCGAGCAACGTCGGAGACGCCGTTTTCCACGTGTTGGCCCTCCTGGCCAAGAGGACGTCCGACAAGAAGTTGATGTTGCCGCCTCTGCTGCAGTTCTTGTCGCATGCGCCACAATTGAGCGAACCTCTGTTGTGGTTCATTCTTCAGGTCTTGAACACCGAGGATGCCATCAGGAATTTTTTGACGGCTGGCGGAATCGAGATCGTGGGGCGCAGCTTCGTCACGAGCAGCAACACGCCGAACACGATCTCCAAATCGGGGACTATTTCCATAGTCATGCAGCACTTCAGCGGGATCAACCCCACTTCGGATGCCAACACGGCGATTGCGTCGGCGTCGGCGTCGAGGAAACTGCAGCAGGCTACTATTGAGAATAAGCTGTCGTTGGTTAATTTTGCGCCGTGTTGTACCATCAGGTGAGATAGTGCTAATATATTAGGAGCAACGACTTGATGAGGCTTTTTTAATTTTAGTTGCCCTTCTGGGACGGCGCAGCCTGCTGAAGTCCTCATCCAGGGAACGGCGGCCACCCACCGCCGCGCCCGCACCCCTCAATGGAGCTACCACTTCTACCCCGACGAAGCCCACACCGAGCTCACTCTGCAGCTCCCGAGCGCTATTCTCCTGCGCGAGGTGCACCTGCAGCCACATTTAAGCGCTCTGGCGACGTGTCCGTCGGCGGTGGCGTTGGAGGTGTCCGCCAACGGTCCCTCTCGTCTCGTCCCCGTGTGTCCGCCACTTCCCACTAGCGGGATGGTCTTCATCAGACTCCACCTCCCCGTCCCCGAGGTGGTCAACTGCGTCCTGATTCGTTTGTACAGACCCAGAGACGCCAATAATATCGGTTTGTCGCAGATCCGTCTCCTGGGGAATCTAGCTTTCGGGGGGAACACCAATCAGAACTTGTCGGACCCGGTGGAGGACGAATCGCACTGCCGCCATAGCTTGGGTTGGTTGCGACTCCTCCACCACTGTTTTACATTGCCGATCGAGCAGGACCTGTCGAAACAAGTGATAGCGTGCGCGTCTGCCGTTCCTAGATTGTTGAGTGCTTGTTGCGAGTTGTTGTTGGTGCCGTCGCACGTGCTTCCTATTTATTTGCCCTGTTTGGAGAAGGTTTTGCGCGAGTTGAGTTTACACAGTCTGGAGAACGGTAACACGGCGATTAAGATCCTCTTGAATAGTAGATCGAGCATCATCGAGCCTTTGAATTTCGCGGATAACGCGTGGCAGGACAGGTTGCTGATCAACGCCACGGGATATCAGTCAGCGTGCGAGCTTCTGTACCAGATTTGCGAGCACCAGGACACGGACACCTTCTACAGGGTGAGGATGATGTTGGAGTGGTTGCAGAGCGTGGCGTTCGAGGCCATGCAGACGGGGAAGACGCAGTGCTGCAACCCCGCGTACATATCGAGCATAGCGTCAATCCTATGGTCGGCCAATCAAGCCCGCGTCACCTACGACCTCTCCTCCATGATTACGTTGGACCTCTTCGACACGATCTACAACCTCAAGACCTGCGTGGAGAACAACATCGCGCTCAAATACTCCCTCGATTCTTTGTTGTGCAGTTTGTGCTACATCCGCCCCGAACTCTTCCCCGTTCTCCTGCAGCGCATCGGCGTGTTGGTTCCGAACTTGTCCACCGACCACGGTGCTTCGATTTCCGACGACCGGAAAGACTCGGAAAGCATGACGGACGACAACAAGCAGACGTTCGAGTTGGACTCGGAGTGGTACGGCCACCTCGTCATGGGCGAACTGTCCAAGTTGAGCTTGTCGAACGAACAGCTGGAGACGGTGGCGCTGGTGAGCCGGTCGCCGTCCGCCATCCAACAACTCCTGGACTCCGGGTTGCCGAAGATGCTAAACAGTGCCATATTCGAATTCTGTACGTCGAACGAAGACAACTCCGTTCCGATGGCGAAACTCGAGAACGTCACCGCTATTTTGAAGTTCTTCACGGACGTGAGTGACGAGAAGACGATGCGGGATTGGTTAGGGTCGTCGGACGGGTCGTCCTTCTGGCTCGAATTGCTCAATTGGCTGTGTAAGAAACCCTTCATGAAGAAGTCGAATCTTCAGTCGGAAGCGCACGCGCAGTTGGAGGAGGTTTGCGTCAAGTTTCTGTCCAAGTGTTGCCTCTGCCACCCCCAGAACCAAGCTCGCCTGGCCACCGTCCTCTGCAAAGTCATAGATCTGCAAAGCAACGGAATCTCGGGCTTCATGCGTCGCCTCACCCTCCAGCTGCTCCTAGAAAACGAAAAAATCCCCGTCAGTATTAAAGCGGACGAGACCCTCTACAAGAGCGTCAAGCTGACGCAAGCCTACCTCCCGGTGCACCCCGCCTTCAAGCAAACCTACAACCGCGCCCTCCTCTACTTGAGCACCAACACCACCCTCGCCGACATCCTCGAGCAACACATCTACTTCAACACCACCTACAAGATGGAAAGCAACAACTCGACGAAGCGCTCCCTGCTCAGCAAGAAGGACCTCTTCAAGGGTTGGTTCCCGGAGGACTCGGACCTGAGCATGGCCGCGGGTGTTACAGCCAAAGATAAACGTGCCAAAGATGCCAAAAACCAGGCCGTGTCGACGCCGCAGTCCAAGAAGAAGCGGTACACGGCGACGGAGAACCTCAACGGCGGCGACGTCATCGGGGGGCGGCTGATCAAGTGCGAGTCGTACTCGGACCAGCCGCTGCCGCTCAGTCTCAACCTGGGGCAGCTGCTGCGGCTGATCGAGACCAAGGGGACGACGCCGGACTGGCCGTGCGTGCACCTGGTGGTGTGCCAGAACAAAAGTAAGTCGGGACGTGGGGGAAACTCGAAATTAACGATTTGGGGTTACAGATGGTGATAAAAAGAGCGAGAGTAGCGACGTAGATTCTAGCGTGTACCAACAACAACCCTTCAGTAGTGCCTTACAAGTGTTCAGTTCGATGGGCGGGTTGGCGCTACTGGCGCGGCATCTGCCGACCGTCTATCCGGAGGCGGTCAGGCCGCCTCCGAAGGAGAAGACAACGTCCGAGCAGTCGGATTCCGAGTGGATCAAAGTCGAGGGTATGTAGACATGAAAAAATTATTCCTTCGTGAATTATAAACAGAGAAATTTATTTTAAACTAGCTGACCCCGTGAACTCCGTTTCACCTACAATTTAATTTTGAATCTGCAAAATCGAATGCTTTGAAATCTTGCAGATGTTTTAAACATATGATAAGCATAATACATTTTTATTCAAAATATATTTACTTATCCCCTCCAAAAAATTGATGACGTCAGCTCAAAATTTTGCCAAATGAATCCTATATAAAATGTCCAAAATAGGATGAGACTACTTGTGATTTATCATTCCATTCATATTTTTTAGTTTTGCTTATAGGGGGTGTCTCAAAAAAAATTAATCACTGAGTCAATTTATTTTATTGATTGAATCAAGAACTGCAAAATTGAATTTTGAAATATTGCAGACGTTTTGAAGTTACTGTAAGCATGGTAAATTGTTAAGAATATTTATTTATTCCCCCCAAAAAATTGATGGAATGGCTCACTCGATTTTCGCAGATAATTTTGGGAATACAATACAGTTATTTTTAGTATTACACTGCACCAATCCAAGGTGGTATATCTACGTGTTGATAGTAAATGTTGATTAGGTCATCACAAAATTGTGTGAAGAAAAGACTCAACTCGAAAATGCTGAATATGTTTCATTATACTTTTGGTGCGAAGGAAGTTCTGTCGAAACAACGTTCGATCAATTTTTTGACAATGGTTGATATAAATAAAACTCAGTAGATGCTCATACTCGAAATACGAAGTATCTACTCGAATATCAAATCAAAATATTTCTAGTTTTTCTAGATGATACTAATACTTCAGTAAGTAACAGTTGATGGTCAAGTAGCATCTCGATTCAACAAAAAAGGACAACAGTGACAGTGTTTAACCATCAAGGCAAAAATCGAGTCACCAAAATATAAGTTAGTATGGGGTAGACACCTTGAGATGGGAATCTCTATGGCCAGTGTTAGAAAAAACGCACTGCACAATTTATGAATAAATAAAAGTTAATTACATGAAAAGTTTTCGATATTCCTGCTCCTAATGTGTTTTTCAAACTGAATGCACCTTTTGACGACGTTCCACATTCATGAAAGTCACCATGTTTAGTTAAAATTCACTTTTACAACGATCCTACTGGTTTTCTAAGCTACTTTACAGACAGCTCAGTTATTTGCCACGCCGATGCTCATTTCTAGATTAAATGCTCACAAAACGCGTAGATGTTCAGTTTGTGTTCGGGGAGATACAATGTTTCCCAGTAGGTACTCAGTACATAGAGTAGATGCTCAGGTATATAAGAGTCATAATGAAGTAGGTACTTCGTACTTCGAATATGAGTATCTACTCAGTTTTATTCATACCACTCAATGTCTCGCTTCAATGTTTGATTATGTTGATTATGAGCACAACGCTGATCAACTTCCATATCCGAATTACCCATGAAATAAATCATTGCGGTTTGCACCTGAGGTACTTCGTCGCACATTTGATTGACTTCGTGGACCTATGTGAGGTTGTCGTCTTTTCGGCATTTTAATGAACTTCATAAAACGACACAGAATTATTTTCACAGTCAATCAAATCTGTAAATTTTGTCTTGAGAATTTTAAAATATTGAAAACTTCAAATTAAATCCTCGAATAACGGTAAAGTTTGAGGTTTTGTCGAAACCAACAAAGTGAATATAGGTAAATAGAATGGCAGATCAAAGTTAATAAGAAACTTTCGCAATGTGTAATTAAATTCACTTTAACCAAAACTTTTCTTAAAATAAACGACGTTTTTTTTTACGGAAAACAAAGCACGATTTGAAATGCAATATACTTTTCACAATTCCACGGAAGAATTAGTTTTGTATGACACGTCAGTTAAGACGACAGGTCCGTCAGAAACGCCAACTATTGAAATTAATTCGAAGTGGCGATTCCCATACAAAATTTTTAGAATTTTTTTATTTTTTAACTGTTCTTTTAAGTTTTCCTTATTTTTTTTATTTATAAACCATCTCCGTAATATAAAAAATTTTTCAAATTGGTCAAGCCGTTTTTGAGTCTTAGCGAGACTAACAGGAACAGCAATTGATTTTTATTATATAGACGATTAAGAAATGGGGGTTGGTGGTAGAAAGGTGAAAATTTAGGGTTATGTGTATTTTTTGATGCCAATTCTTAAAAAAATAAAAATAAAAAATTTTGTTTAAAAAATAGACAAAAATTTTTTAGGGTGGGCCACCCTTATCACTTAGGGGTTTAAAAAATAGTTTACAACCTATTGTCAGACCTACCGAATAGACACAAAAAAATTCATACAAATCGGTTTACCCATTTCGGAGAAGTTCGGTTACAAACATTGTGACGCGAGAATTTTATACATAATGCATTATTATTTTAGAACAAATTTCATTACCATAAAAAAGGTTATACTGACTCGACCTTAAAAGATAGACATATGCTGTCACGGACTTTTCTTTAGAACTTTTAGAGGGGAACAATTTCGTCATACATGATTTTTACGTAACTTTAACCGTTTAAGCAGCGTAAGCAACGGAAGCTGTCAAAGGAGGAATAATTTTCCCGTTTTGCCGAATTTTTCATTGCTACTTCGCTCCTAATGATCGTAGCGTGATTTTATATAGCCTATATGTAGACATGGTACATGGACTATCCAACACAAAAAGATTTTTTGAATTTGAACCAGTAGTTTCTGAGATTAGCGTGTTCAAATAAACAACAGCTTCAGCTTTATTATATAAGTATAGATAAGGAAAAGTTATTAATATTCACTTTGTGGGCGCAGATTGCGACGACATCTACGAAGACGTCGAAGAAACAGTCGGGACCAGTTCACCTTCAAAGTCATCCGGACTCATTTCAAATGTTCCAGCTCATTCTCTCACTGCCTTTGGGCTTTTCTTAAGACTGCCGGGTTACGCCGAGGTCCTTCTCAAGGATATGAAGAAAGCTCTCTGCCTCCTGCGATTAGTTTTAGGTGTCACTGACGACGGCGAAGGTAAAATATAATTTAGAATAGTAGTTGAACCAGTTCTGACGCGGACTTCGTCAGGTGGCGACATCTTCCAGTCACCCATCGCCGATTCTCTACCCACATTGCCTTTCGAAGTCCTGCGCAAGCTCTACGACGCCACGCCCCTGAGCACCGACGACGGTCGACTCCTCAGACGCATCAGTATTAACACCGGCGTCGTCCACCTGCTCTTGGCCTGTCTGGGGATTTTCACGCACCAGACGCAGAACAACAACGACAAGGACGGCCAGAAGGACTCGAAGAGCAAAGAGGAGCGTTCGCAGCTGTATTGGGCGAAAGGGACCGGTTTCGGAACCGGATCGACCCAACAAAGCTGGAACGTGGAGCAGGCGTTGCTCAAGCAAAGGAGCGAAGAGGAACACGTCACCGTTCTCCTGCAGGTCTTAGCTAGTTACGTTAGCCCCAACGGAGAGGCCGTCGACGAACTGATGGAGGACGTGTTGCCGCCGTCTTTCCACGACCTTTTAGCGAATAGCTCGCTGCTGCCGGCGCTCAGCTCGTATTTGAGGAACGATTCAGGTAGGGTTTCAGTTAGAGTGTCTAAATTTTTGTTATTTGTTTTTTCGTTTTAGTTTTGGATATGGCTAGGCACATCCCCTTGTACAGAGCGGCACTGCAGCTGCTGCGAGCCCTAGCAACGAGTTCGCAGCTAGTGGACTTGTTGCTACCGCAAAAGTCGCGGATTAACGAACCCTCAATTAGTTCCTTGTTGAAGAACATGAAGACTTGTGTAGACACTTACGCCTCTAAATTAAGGTAAGTTCGTTTGTAGTAACGGTGTGACAGTCCTGAGACGTCTTTTTTTACAGACTTAACACAAAAACTAACGCTAAATTCAAAACGAAACTCCGGGAACAACTAGAAGAACTCGAACAAGGCGAAGGCTTGGCGACTTTAATGCCCGATATCCAGGACACGGCCAATTTGGTGTCTAAAGTAACGAGCGGCCTCATAGATTCGGACCAAGACAGCGAAGGTGACACGCCTATGGATCGACTAAGCGCCGCCTCTTTGGAGGAGAAGTATCTGAAAATCATGAAGGGCTTACAGTTTGGTACGTCTTCACACCACCAGCACTCCGTTTACACACTCTATCCCCATTTTAAAAATCGTAGGTTCCTACGAGATGATCTCCGAGCTCCCCGAAGGCGGCCTCAAGTTCGTCGTCTCGCACCACTTCGAGAGCAACGCCAAGTCCACCGGCGAGCAGTCGCACCCGGCCCGAGTCAAGCGCATCGCCCAGGAAGCCGTGACGCTCTCCACCAGCTTGCCCTTGAGCTACAGCAGCTCGGTGTTCGTGCGTTACGACACCTCCCGCCTCGACGTGATGAAGGTGCTCATCACCGGCCCGGCCGACACCCCCTACGCCAACGGCTGCTTCGAGCTGGACGTCTTCTTCCCGCCCGACTACCCCCTGTCTCCTATGATGATCAACCTGGAGACCACCGGCCACCACACCATCCGCTTCAACCCGAACCTGTACAACGACGGCAAAGTCTGCCTGTCGGTGCTCAACACGTGGCACGGGCGGCCCGAGGAGAAGTGGAACGCGCAGACGTCGAGCTTCCTCCAGGTGCTGGTGTCGATCCAGAGTCTCATTTTGGTGCCGGAGCCCTACTTCAACGAGCCGGGGTACGAGCGCTCGCGAGGCACGCCGGCGGGCACGCAGAGCTCGCGGGAGTACAACGCGAACATCTGCCAAGCCACGGTGCGGTGGGCCATGCTGGAGCAGATCTTGAACCCGTGTCTGTGCTTCAAGGAGATCATCCACACGCACTTTTACCTGAAGCGGAACGAGATCATCGCGCAGGTGGAAGGGTGGCTCAAGGACCTGGAGAGCGACATCACGGAGAAGAGGATATCGAGGAGCGCGAACAAGCGCTCGCCGTCGGCGAACATCGACAGCTTCAAGAAGATCTTCCAGCAGCTGAAGGAGCAGCTGATGAAGCTGAAACCGCCGGAGGGCGTGGCGGAGGAGGAGACGCCCACGAAGATGGACAGCACGAGCAACGGGGTGGACGAGCACCAGGAGATCGACGCGGATATCGACATGGAGAAGATGGTCAAAGAGATGTGCGAGTTCGACGCGACATAGAGCTGTTTGCATTTAATTTGTTTTTTTACCAAAATTAGACAATACATTTTTACAAATTCCCAAGTATTTCGGTATTCTATTAAATCTGAGTTTGTATTATAATTTAATGTAAAGAACTGCATGACTGATGAGGGAGACGTGGTTACCAGTTTCTTGTGTCATAAGTGATTTTTTACAGTGATCATGTGTAAAAATTTATTTTGTATTATGTAAATTTCTTTCAGTTAAATTTACTGTTAAGACACAAATGTGATTTAAGAATGAATAAAGTAATTTTGTTTTTGGGGGCCTTTTCCTTCAGCAAATTTACTGCTGGTTTTTCTAGTAAGTCCGAACTTTACTATTTGTTCATGGGCGCCCATAGGGGGGGGGGCAGGGGGGCCATGCCCATGCCCCCCCCCCCTGAGATTCTGCGTCAATTTCCTTTTTATTTGTCAAAATTAAACTTTAGCACATTTATAAGAGTAGGTACATGCCCTACACTTTCAGTTTTATGGGCCTGTCTAATTTGCAGACCACAGTTTATCTTGCAGACTGGGGGTTAAAAATGCTGCAATCAAGTCGAAACTCGACATTTGCTTATTTCCCAATACGAAGATTGTTGGTACAAAATTTCAACCCGTTCGGAAAAACCCTTAAAAACCACCCCCAAAACAACCTTGCAGACTGGGGCTTAAAAATACTCCAATCAAGTCAAAATTTTATATTCGCCAGTTTATCAATATAGGGACTATCGATACGAAATCTCAGCCTATTTGAAGAAACCCTCAAAAATCACCCCCAAAACAACCTTGCGGGCTGGGGATTAAAAATGCTCCAATCAAGTCAAAATTTTATATTCGCCAGTTTATCAATATAGGGATTATCGATACGAAATCTCAGCCTATTTGAAGAAACCCTCAAAAATCACCCCCAAAACAACCTTGCAGGCTGGGGATTAACAATGCTCCAATCAAGTCAAAATTTGATATTCGCTAGTTTCTCAATATGAGGATTATCGATACAAAATTTCAGCCTATTCGAAAAAACCCTCAAAAATCACCCCCAAAACAACCTTGCAGACTGGGGATTAAAAATGCTTCAATCAAAGCAAAACTTGACAGCCGCTTATTTCTCAATACAAAGATTGTTGATACAAAATTTCAAGCCGTTCGGGGAAACCCTTAAAAATCACCCCCAAAACAACCTTGCAGACTGGGGATTAAAAATGCTCCAATGAAGTCAAAATTTTATATTCGCTAGTTTATCAATATGGGGATTATCGATACGAAATCTCAGCCTATTTGAAGAAACCCTCAAGAATCACCCCCAAAACAACCTTGCAGGCTGGGGATTAAAAATACTCCAATCAAGTCAAAACTCGACATTTGCTTATTTCTCAATACGAAGATTGTTGATGCAAATTTTCAACCCGTTTGGAGAAACCGTTAAAAGCTACCCCCAAAACAACCTTGAAGACTGGGCCTTAAAAATATTATTACCAAATCGAAACTTGGTGTTTAGTTTTTATCTATACGAGAAGTGATAATGCAAAAAAACCAGTCTTTTTTAAGCTGCTCTTAACAAGTACCCCAAAGCAATCTTTCATACGGAAGCTTAAAAATACTCCAATTGAGTCGAAAGTTACCACTTGCTGAGTTCTTTACACAAAAAAATTCATGTCAAATTTTAGTCACCTTGAAACAAGTTATAAAAATGATTGATAGTTGACATTCATTTAAAGTACAAGCAGCAGAAAAATTTCAGACACATATAAAGAGACAGTGCATTATGTCTAAAGTATGTGCGCACCATAGAGGTAGAATGAGAGGAGGGAAGATTGATTGAAAAAATGCCTGGTACCGCGCTTTCTGCTAGGGTCATAAATGGTTCTTCCAGGTCCTCCGAGAAACTGGCTGTTCCAGTGGCGTGCTCGAAAGCGTTTGCGGGTTACTAGGCATAAAACAAAAATAATTTCATAAGAAAGCATATAAAAGCAGCAGCAGCAAATTTACTTGAGTTTTTAATTGGTTAAGATTCGTTGCTACGGTCGTTGTGTTATCTCCACCTTTGCGCAAACCGAGCTAATTCCTACAGTAATTAATCACCTAATGATCTTAATATGCGTTGTTAATTATGAAAAATATTGTTTTGTTACCTTTTATAACTGTATTTTAATGTATATACACTGACCGGCAAAAAACCTGCCACACTGTAAAATTTCGCGAAACCAAACTTTAGAAATTGTTAATTTAACTAGTGATCGTTGTTTTATTAAAGAACCATTCACTGTTGACACATGATGTATAAATTAGCAACAAAAAAGAAGACAAATAAACGCAGAATTAAATTTAATTTAACAAAATAACAGAAACAGAGCGACAATTTGGGAGACGTCTGTAAGAGTTAACGGCATTATTTTCGCGTGAAAACGTATATTAACTGCCAAACTTATAATCAAATGATGAAAAACACTGTTTACAACAACAGCCTCCTTTATTATTTTAATTAAGAAAATATCTTAGTTGGTCTGTTTCTGTTATTTTGTTAAATTAAATTAAATTTTGGGTTTATTTGTTTTCTTTTTTATGTTAATTTGTACATCATGTGTCAACAGTTTATACATAAGGTATGTAGTGCCATTGGAAAGATTAAAATCATGTATATTTTCAAATTCTATATTTTTTTCTCGAATTTTCACATCTATATCGTTATTTCCATCTAAGAATTTAATTTATCAATACAACTAAAATTTCCCTAAATACATGCGCTCAACTAGATTAGTCTTAACTGTAGTCGTCTTTACTTTTACTAAGATTTTCCAATTCTATGTCACTTTTACCGCTAGTACGTAAAAGAGTTTTGAGAAAAATTTACATATACTCCTATCTTTTTTTGAACTTAAATTGCAATCGAATCAAATTACATTTGCAACAGCGTAACCAAACAAACTTTCTTATTTCCCATTTTATACAATTTATGTCATAGATTTATGTCAATTAACGCTTAAACAATGTCATACAAAATAGAGTTGCAAAGAGCCATATACCAGTTAGTTACCCAAGTATCTAAAAGTGAAATTGTGAATATATTTTGGACCAAATATATTACACGCGCAACTATATACAGAACAATTAAAGACTGCGAGGTAGCAATATCACAATAAGTTTAGAAAGATTAAGAAGAAAAACAAGAGCCTGGAACATCAACAAGAAGATTGGCTCGATTGTTTAGAGTTACTATATAATAGTTTCTAGAGAAATAGGCAAAAACAACTTAAAATACAGCAAAAGAGCTAAATGTTCAAAACATACAGGATCGCAGTTAGAGAGAATTCTTAGATGTTGCCGGCTATTGAGAATTCATCATTTTCTGGACAATCGTGTGGTTGTGCTAGGCGATGAAAAATATTTTACATTTGCCCATTCAGAGATGGAAGGTAACGATGGATTTTATACAAACAATATAGAAGAAATTAAAAGTAAAATTTAAGTCGAAGGCAAAATTTTAAGATAAAATTTTGGTTTGATGGGCTATATCTCCGGCCGGCGTTTCAGCACAATTCATTGGCCGTACTAAAGGTGACGCGGTCAATACATAACAATATATGGGAACACCATAATAACGACGATGTAATATTTTGGCCAAATTTAGCAAGTTGCCATTATACTAGATGTCCAGGGATTGGTTAGAAAGCAATAATATAAGTTTTGTACCTAAGAAAAGGTAATCCCCCCATAGTGCCCCCAGTGCGAACAATCGAAAACAAAATTTGGGGAATACTAAGTAGAAAGGTTTACAACAACGGCTGGGAAGCCAATTTAGAAGAACAATTAAAAAGAACAATTTACCAGACAGTTAGAGAAATGGACGTGGACACCATCCAAAGGCTGTAAGACCTACATATGAAGACAATTTTGCGTCGTATTGAATATAACGAATCTTTATTTGTTTTCCCATTAATAATAATTAATTAAGAAATTAGCATATTTCTGGGTTCTTTTTGAAATTCAAATAAAATTAAGTTTGAGCTTCCTATTATTAATTTAAATTTTTTCTCAAAACTTTTTTTTTTACGTTAGGTTTCTCGGAAATTAAAAATGTCTCTAATTTTCTTTAAAATATCTTTAAGATTTTGTTTCCTCTGAATTTTAAATTTTCTCTTTTGGACACCACTAACTTTGTATTTTTTGACTGATGATGAAAGTTTAATTATATCTCAAAGAACTCAAAACCAGCATATAGTATGTACTGAATGAACCAAGTTAACAGCAAAAATGACGTGTAAAAACGCACAAAAAATGAGAGATTGGACGAAAAAATGCCCAGCAACAGCAACAATTATCTAACAGCGATAAACATGAACTCAAATTATCACAATTCACGTATCTGTAACAAATACTTCTATATGTATTCGTAATTTATATATTTTTTAAATTTAAATATAAATAAATTAATTAATAATTAACAATAAAATAATAAAAAAATAAATTAATGTCAAATTTTGACTTGATTAGAGTATTTTTAAGCCCTAGTCTGCAAGGTTGTTTTAAGGGTAGTTTTTAACGGTTTCTTCGAACAAGTTGAAATTTTGTATTAACAATCTTCGTATTGAGAAATAAGCAAATATCGAGTTTTAACTAGATTGGAGCATTTTTAACCCCCAGTCTGCAAGGTTGTTTTAGGGATGATTTTTGAGGGTTTCTCCAAATGGGCTGAAATTTTGCATCAATAATCCTCGTATTGAAAAACTAGGGATTGTCAAAGTTTAACTTGATCAGAGTATTTTTAAGCCCCAGTCTGCAAGGTTGTTTTGGGGGTAGTTTTTAACGGTTTCTCCGAACGGGTTGAAATTTTGTGTCAATAATCTTCGTATTGAGAAATAAGCAAATATCGAGTTTTGATTTGATTGAAACATTTTTTACCCCCAGTCTGCAAGGTTGTTTTGGGGATGATTTTTGAGGGTTTCTCCGAATGGGGTGAAATTTTGCATCAATAATCCTCGTATTAAAAAACTAGCGAAGGTCAAACTTTGAATTGATTAGAGTATTTTTAAGCCCTAGTCTGCAAGGTTGTTTTAGGGGTAGTTTGTAACGGTTTCTCCGAACGGGTTGAAATTTTGTTCTAACAATCTTCGTATTGAGAAATAAGCAACTGTTGAGTTTCAACTTGATTGGAGCATTTTTAACCCCCAGTCTGCAAGATAAACTGTGGTCTGCAAATTTGAAACGCCTTACATAACTTAAAACCAAGTTGCCTTAAAGGGTTGGGCGAATTTTACACCACTGACAATTTTTATCGGACGAAATCCAAAATTGGCAGGATTTTGTAAAAATAAAAAACCTTGACAGTGTTGTGTACGTGTGAAAGGGCCTTAACCGGGTTGGTGGAAGGTAGTTGAGGTGCGCATGCGTAGGACGGGATCGGTAGAGATAGTTAGTTTTGTAATGGTGGATCAATGTGTAGAATCTTACTCTTAGTAATAAATGTGGATAGCAAGGAAACGAGATCTATGAGAACCCACACCCAGACATAATAAAAGTGGCGACGAGGATGTTGGGAAGTGTGGAGCCGTATATTCCAGGCGAGAGTTTCCCTGAGTGGAGTGAGAGGTTGCAGCAGTTTTTTCTGCTGAATGACGTTACCGAACCAAAAAAAGTAGCGTCTCTTTTAACGTTTATCGGACCAGAGACGTACTCAATATTGAAGAAATTGGTGTTCCCGGCAGATCCGGCAGAGAGGAAGTACGTGGAGTTGGTGGAGGTATTGAAGCAGCATTTCGCACCAGAAATAAATGAGATAGCGGAGAGGTACAAATTCCACAGAGAAGACCAAGTAGAAAATCAAACCATTAGTGAGTACGTAGTACAGCTGAAGGCGAGGGCCCAATCGTGCAAATTTAGTGAATTTTTAAATGAAGCTCTGCGGGATAGGCTAGTTTTTGGTGTGCGAAACAGTCAACTGAGAGCCATTTTGTTGAAAGAACAGGGGTTGACCTTCGAAAAAGCGTGTTCGATCGCCGTGAACTGGGAAATGGCCGAAAATCAAACACAAAAGGAAACTGTCTTTAATCAATTTCGCATCAGAGAAGATTCTTCAGGTAGACGTGGAACTGGATCGTGGGATCTGTGCGGAAGATGCGGACGTAGGCATGATAGTCAAAAGTGTCCAGCTTTAGAATGGAAATGTCGCAAGTGCGGAAAGTTGGGTCATATAGCTAGATGTTGCCTGACTAGAAGTATAGGAAGAGAGCAATTGAGTAGTAGTAGCGCTTCCAGAAGAAGAAGAGATCCAGCATCTACGGTTATTCAAAGGATGTCAGACGACATGGAGTGTGACAGAGGTCAAGAACGAGACATCGAACTGAATATAGTGCAGAACGAGAAAGTTCAGCCGGTGAAAGTCAACATAGAAGTTGAAGGTATTTGGTTACAAATGGAAGTCGACTCAGGAGCATGTGCGTCGGTAATTAGTGAAGATACGTATCGAAAAAAATTTTTGTCGTGTCCGGTGGTAAAAACAAATGTTAATCTTGTGTCTGTTACAGGGGATAGGGTCTCCACTGTAGGAAAAATTCTTGTCAAGGTTAGAAAGCTAGGTCAGGGAAAAGAGTTTCCCTTAGAAATGTACATTATATGCAGTAGTAAACCGGTAGTTCCGTTGTTAGGGCGCACCTGGATGGATTGTCTGTACCCAGAGTGGAGAAATGCGTTAAATGTTGTCAGTAAGGAGGAGTCAGTAGGTAGTAATTTTAATTTAAATGATAGAAATAAAATTGTAAATGAAATCAGAGTCAAATACCCAAGAATTTTCGGCGAGAATTCAAATTCAGTCATTAAGCAGTTTAAAGCTGATATAGTTATGCAGGAGAATGCCAAACCAATATTTCATAAAGCATATACAGTACCGTTCAAATTGAAAGAAAAAGTAAGTCAGGAATTAGATAGAATGCTAGAAGTGGGAATTATAAAACCTGTATCTTTTAGTAGGTGGGCGTCCCCGATTGTAATTGTCCCTAAGAGTAATAATACCCTGCGCATTTGTGTAGATTGTAAGGTCACTATTAACAAATATATTAGGACACAGCATTATCCATTGCCAAGGGTAGATGAGATATTTGTTGGTTTAGGGGGATGTAAAATATTTTGTGTATTAGATTTATCAGGGGCGTATCAGCAATTAGAATTATCACAGGAATCACAGGAGTACTTGACAATTAACACCTGGAGAGGATTGTTCAGATATACTAGGCTAACATACGGTGTCGCGAGCGCGCCTTCTCAGTTCCAAAGCATAATGGATCAAATTTTGTCGGGATTGCCAAACGTAGTTTGCTATTTGGATGATATACTTATAGGAGGTTTTTCTTATGAGGATTGCCAGAAAAAATTAGAGTTAGTGCTAAAACGTTTGAATGAATTCAATGTTTGCATCAATATAGAGAAATGTAAGTTTTTTCAGCCTTCAGTTGATTATTTAGGTCATACCATATCCTGTCAAGGAATTAAGCCTCAAAAGGCAAAAGTGGAAGCTGTGCGAGAGGCTAGACCTCCTAAAAATGTCTCTGAATTACAAGCGTATTTAGGATTATTAAACTATTATCATAAATTTTTGCCTAATTTAAGTAGTGAATTACATGAATTGTATAAGCTGTTACGTAAAGGAGAAAAGTTTGTATGGACAGCTAAGTGTCAAAAAGTTTTTGATGAAAGTAAACGTCTGTTAGTCAATAATCAACTTTTGGAAATATATGATCCAAATAAACCCATAGTAATTTGTGCAGATGGGTCTCCGTATGGGGTAGGTGCTGTGTTATCACAGGTCGTAAATGGTAAAGAGAAACCCGTGTTATTTGCGTCAAGTTCATTATCGCCCGCAGAAAAGAATTATTCACAACTACATCGCGAAGCTTTAGCGATAGTGTTTGCAGTTAAAACGTTTCATAAGTACATTTATGGGAATAAGTTCACCTTATGTTCCGATAGTCAAGCTCTCCAAGAAATATTTAGTCCCAATAAAAGTACATCGGTGGTGGCGGCATCACGGTTGCAAAGGTGGGCAGTGTTGTTATCAATGTATGAGTATGAAATTAAGTATCGTCCGTCTAAGCAAATGTGTCATGTCGACGCGTTATCTAGATTACCTTTGGAAGTACCCACGGGAGTAGAGAATATTTCTATTAATAGATTAAGCATAATTAGTGATTTTGATATTAGTACAGAGGATATTGCCAGAGCCGTACAAAATGATTCCTTATTGAGACAAGTGTATAAGTATACATGTGAAGGATGGCCAAAAGATAAAGTATGCGATCGGTTACAATACTATTATAAGTTACGAAATAGTATTAGTACTCAGGATAAATGTTTATTTTTCGGAGATAGGTTAATAGTGCCGACTTCGCAGGTAGAAAATATTTTAAAGATTTTGCATAAGGATCATGAGGGTATAGTTCGTATGAAACTAGCAGCAAGAAGTATTTTTTGGTGGAAAAATATGACGGTAGACATAGAAACGGTTGTAAAAAATTGTGATATTTGTGATCAAACAAGTAATTTTAGAAAAGAACCGGTGGTATCCGGTTGGAAACGTACATCCAGACCACTAGAAAGAATACATATAGATTTTTTTCATTTTCAGCAACATACGTTTCTCATCATAGTTGATGTATATAGCAAGTTCATTGATGTTCATATTATGAAACGAACCAATGTAGAGGAATTGATCAAATATTTGCAAATTTTTTGTTCACGTTTTGGTTTGCCATTCGAAATTGTTAGTGATAATGGGCCGCCATTTAATTCGTGGAAGTTTGACTTGTTTGGGAAAGAAGATAATATTAAAATTACGAAAACACCACCTTACCATAGTCAATCGAATACATATGCTGAGCGTAGCGTACAAATAGTAAAAAAATATTTGTATAAATACTTAATGGATAGGCGGTTGTCAAAGTTTACGATTGATGAGAAAGTACTGAGGTTTACGTCTGCATATAATAGTACACCATCATCGGTGACAAAAGATTCACCCTATGACAGGATTTTTTCTTACAAAGTGAGAAATGTCGCGAATTCGTTAAATCCTAGGTATGGTAGTGTAAACAATAGACTTAAAGAACAACATGTAACTGTAAACGTAGGTAATAAGCGTCATTCGCCCGTAAGAGAGGTTCCTAAATATTGTAAAGGGGAAGAAGTGTTGTATAGGAATCACTTTAAAAGTTATATTAAGTGGTTACCAGCTGTTGTGGTTGGTCAAAGGAGTCCAGTCGTATATGTAATTAAGCTAAGGGGTCAAGTTAGAACAGCACATGTAAATCAGTTGCGTTACCCTAGTAAACACAGTACCATGTACTACGATAAATACGGTAAGATACTAACGGAAACTAATAAGGCTTTGGAAAGGCCAGGCGGCGAAGACGAAGTAGAGATACTTTCACCAAGGGGGTTACTTAGAAGATCCGAGCGTACGAGAAAGGCTCCTGATAGGTTTACGTTTAGGTTAAGTCGTTAAGTGTTATAGTAGGTAGGTTATGAATGTATGTTTTTAATAAAAAGCCGGAAAGTGTTGTGTACGTGTGAAAGGGCCTTAACCGGGTTGGTGGAAGGTAGTTGAGGTGCGCATGCGTAGGACGGGATCGGTAGAGATAGTTAGTTTTGTAATGGTGGATCAATGTGTAGAATCTTACTCTTAGTAATAAATGTGGATAGCAAGGAAACGAGATCTATGAGAACCCACACCCAGACATAATAGACAGTAGTATTTCAGAGAGAGAGTTAATGCCGAAGAAATATCTGTTGGTAGAGTAACTGACGATTTTGGCCAAGAAAAAAGGGATTAGCAATTTGTTTTTGATGAATTTTATATTTTTATAACTTTTTAATTTTAATATTTTACACTGTTTTGCTAATAATAAGAATAATGATGTTGTAGGGTTATTTGCGATAGATTTGATTAACGTAGTTGATGATTAAAATATATATTTATAATAGTAAAGATTTCTATCATTATATTATTTATATATATACAAGAACAGAGTATATTACAAAAATTTCAGGGTGCCCCCCCCTGAGAAAGGTTTCTATGGGCGCCCATGTATTTGTTATTTGTTGCTTTTACAAAATCAAAATTCAATTTCTGTATAGTTGTATAGACAACCAACAATACATCAAAGTTGCCGAGCCTAGGATGTAGTAAAATATTTACATTTCTCTCGCATTCTAACTAACTATATTACATATTTTTGCAAGTTATTTAATTTATTTCCGTCGACACAAAATAAGTTCGCCGTTTACATTAAAAAAAAAGGATAATTTTCCATCGTATGGTGGTTTTTCCTCCGTTGGCTATCCTGTCCCAAACAAACTCCCCAGCCGGCCATATTGCTTGCTAATCCGATGCGATGGTGTATTGCGTGCTTTCGGGGGCCGAATTCACACTATAAAAACCGGCCTAAACCAAAATCAAAACATTTTACTTAACCTAAATACAGCAAGTAAGTCGTTTAGGTGCCTTACGCCAGCCCCTTACCCCCCTTTTTCAGGCCCCTAGATGGAAAACAAGGCCCTGCAGATCTCCACTGGTCTAGACACAGAAGCACAAGAGGTCGAAATTATCGGAATTCACACATTGTGTCGGTTGTGTGCGAGTCAGAATGAACGTTTAATCGGGATTTTCAGCGAAGAAGGGATCACTAATGACCTCTCGAATAAAATCAACCTGTATTTGCCCATCAAAGTGGCAGCCACTGATGTGCTGCCGTTGCAGTGTTGCTGGAACTGTGCCTCGACACTACTGGCTTGGCACGAGCTGGTTTTGACGAGCGTGGAGATCGACAGGAAGTTCAGGAGTTCGCAGTTCATCGCGGAGAAGGTGGTGGAGGATGAAGGCGGCTATGACAATTCCACGAATCCATTCAGTGCCAGTGATGATAATGGAGTCTGTGATAACGAGGGGTAAGCAATTTGAGATTCTCCGTAGAGTAGTAGAACACGAGAGGTTTTTAAGTCCAGAAACAGTTTAAAATTACATTTTTATAAAACTTGAAAATGAAAAAATTACTGTTGGTGGTATTACTTGTGACATAATTTGTACCTTTTACATTTTCCTACATAAGGCAGCCCGTATTTTTCCACTAGACACGTTCGCATTACTCTGGAAGTCCAAAAATCTTGTCCAAGTCTCCACCATCGGCCGAAATCATCCAGACTTGTGAGTCGCCCTTAACTAACGCCTTTATTATGTTGGCAGGATGGAGTCCAAGTCCGTCACCACAAGTCTGAATGATTTCGACCCAAAAAGACCGAAATCGCCAAGAAAGAAGAAAAAGCACGAGACGTTTCCGTGCCCGAAAAGCGAACCAATCACGTGTCTTCCCTTGCAAGAAACCACGCCCCTCGACTCGTACATAAGCGACATCGAGCAGCAGCTGATCGACCCGGAGCTAGTCGACAATCCCGAATACAAAATCGACATCGACAACGAGGACGAAGGGGTCTCGGACGACGAACGCGGCGAGCTGAAGGAGTTCGAGGACTCGGTGGGTTTCAAATCCGACGGGGAAGAGGAACGCCCGTACTTCGGCTGTCAGTACTGTCCTGCGATTTTCTTCTCGCGGAGGAGCATCTCCGACCACGTGAAGGACGAGCACGGGAAGGAGTACGAGAAGTACGTGCCCAAGAAGCCCGTGAACCCGGTGGCCATCGAGGAGAACATTAAAAAGGAGAAGCGCAAACACAACAAAATCGACCAGGAGTTAATCAGCGCTGCTAAGGTCGTCGTGGATGGCAGAATCTACTACAATTGTAAAGAATGCGGCAAGAACTTACACTCTCCTTATACTTACACCTGGCACATGCGCATCCACACCGGGGAGCGACCCTACGTGTGCGACCTCTGCGGCAAGCAGTTCCGGGTGTCTCAAGGTCTGGTGCGCCACCTCCGGGAGACCCACGAGGGTATCAAGAAGTTCCCGTGCGATCTCTGCGGGCGGATGTTCGCGACGCGGCGCAACGTGGAGGAGCACAGACGCATCCACACGAACGAGCGGCCCTACGTGTGCGACTTGTGTGGGAAGTCCTTCAAGCAGAAGGCGTCGCTGTTCGTGCACAAGCGCTCCCACAGGAACTACTTCCCGTTCAAGTGCAGCTACTGCAACCAGGGTTTTCGCACGAAGCCGCCGCTCCTGGTGCACATAACGAGGCACACGGGGGAGAAGCCCTACAAGTGTGATATTTGCGGCAGGTGCTTCCGGATCAAGTACGAGCTCAAGAGGCACAGACTGATTCACTCGGACGAGAAACCGTGGGTGTGCAATATATGCGGGTTTAGTTTTCGGCAGAAGCGGTACTTACGGAATCACACGAAGTCGAATCATGCTGTTGTTGCTTAAGTTGTGGATTTGGATGTTCGGTGTTTTTTATTACATTCCGGTAGGAAGAGCGGCTCGGCTTTATTCGTTTTATGTAGTTTAATGCAATAAAGTGTATAGTTATATTATTGACGAGTATGTAGGTTTTTTATGTTTTAAATAAAAGTGTCGGTTTTCGAGACTTGCCATGTTGAAAAGTCGCCATTGTATAGGGTTGGTCACGGGAAGTTTGACGGCTGAAAAATTCAAAATGCAACCGTAGAAGTAGTTTGTTGTTTAGTTTTGATAATAATTTGGAAATTAACGTCAATTATTAGGTTGAAATTAAAAACGAACAACTTTTAGAAGAGAGCTCGTCGGGGAATCCACTGTACGGATGAAGTTGGCTACACAATTGCTTTACTTTTGTTATTTTGACAGAACTTCCCTCGCTTCTGAAGTGCAGTCCAACTGATTCCGCTACTTTGAAAAATTATAAAAATTGTTTGCGATTTTTGTTTTCCGATAACTTCTATAAAGTAAAAACCAGTGCCGTAAATAATACTCCGGCAGCTTTTTTGACTTGCATTTTTTATTCTTTATTTTTTTTTTTGTTTTGTTTCTCCAGTTTTTGAAGGTTTTTATTTTGATTTGCAATGATAACAATTATAATATTTATAAAGTTCTCACGTTTTCAATTTTATGATTTTACAATTTTTCTGTTTTTCAATTACTGTATTTTAAAACTTCTGATTTATTCGATTTTTCAGTGTTACAGGTTTTCGACTTTATAATTTTGACGATTTTATAATTTTTCGACTTTACAATTTTTGGGTTTTCCAGTTTTTCGATTCGATTCGTTTTTTCTTCTTTCCAATTTTTTGATGAATTAATTTTTGCGGCTTTTAGTTTTTCAATGTTTGTTTTTTCAGTTTTTCGAATTTATTTTTAGATTTTTCAATTTTTCGCTTTTTCAACCTTTCGAATCAAAAAACGAAAAAATTGTAAAATTGAAAGAATAAAAATGAAAAAACGAACAAGTATAAAATGAAAACTTTGAAAAATCTAATAATTGGAAATCGAGAATTTTAAAAATTGAAGAACGAAAAATCAAAATATGTATTGTAAAATCGAAATATTGAAAATTAAAGAAATTGGAAAATCGAGTAATTGCAAAATCAAAGGTTTAAAAATTGAATAAATGAAAAATTAAAAAATCGAGAAAATGAAAATGAAAAAGTCGGGGAAAAATAAAAATCAATGGTGATATAAAAAAAAATTCAGATTTCTCGAAAAATTATAAGATTTGATTTTGCGAATTTTATTTTTTATGATAACCCTTATCTTATGTGGGAAATCAAAAAATTGAAAAATTTTATTAAAGTGGGAATCAAAGATTGAAAAATTGAATAAACGAAAAATTATAAAAAAAATTTCTCCATTTTTCGGTTTTTCAGTTTCATAATTTTTCCCTTTTTCAACTCTAATTTTTGCAATTTCCCATTTTTTCATTTTTTCAAGTTTTCGAAATACTGAAGAAACGAAAAATTGAAACATTGAAAAACTAAAAATCGAAAAGAATAAAAGTCAAAAACTGGAAAAAAGAAAAAAAAAACGAAAATTGCAAGATCCAAAAATTGTACAATCAAAAAATATAGAAAAAATTCTGAAATCGTAAAAAAGTGAAAAATTTTAAAAACTATACATAATAAGAATTTATTACATGTGTATTTAAAATGAAAACTAGAAAAATTGCAAATCAAAAATCGAAAAATCCAAAAACTGAAAAATTTCTCATTAAAAGACCGAAACGAAAAATTGCAAATCGAAAAATTAAAGGAATGAAAAATTGAAAGATCGGAAAATCAAAATATGTGTTGTAAAATCGAAATATTGGAAAATCGAGGAGTTGCAAAATCAAAGATTGAAAAATCGATTAAATGAAAAATTATAAAATCGAAAAAATGAAAATTAAAAAAATCAGGAAAATGAAAAATAAAAATCAAGAATTTGAAAAAGTGAGGAACCGAAAAATTAATTCATTGAAAAATTAAAGAAAGTGAAAAAACGAAAAAATGTGGCTTAAAAAAAATTGGTCGAAGGGAAATAAATCCAGATTTTTCGAAAAACTATAAGATTTGATTTTGAGAATTTTATTTTTTGTAATAACCCTTATTTTTTAAATTGGAAATCGAATATTGAAAATTTGAAAAATTGTATAAACGAAAAATTATAATTTTGTGTTTTTTTATTTTTTAGTTTCATAATGTTTCGCTTTTTCAACTCTAATTTTTGCAATTTCCCAATTTTTATTTTTTGGTTGTTCAATTTTTCAGATTTTTGATTTGTATTTTTCATTTTTCCGATTTTTTTATTTTAATTTTTTCAATTTTATATCACAACTTTTCATTTTTTATATTTATATTATTTTATTTTGTTTTTCAGTTGTCGAGTTTCCCATTTTTAATTTTTGGTTTCTCGATTATCCGATTTTTCGACTTCTTTAATTTCCAGTGTTTCACTTTTACAATACATTTTTTTTCAGTTTTGCACTTTTCGATTTTTGACTTCCTCAATTTTTATTGGTTCGATTTTTGAATTTTTCGTTTCTTCAATTTTTCAAGTTCTTGATTTCCAATTTTTAGAGTTTTTAAAGTTTTTTTTTATTTTTGATTTTTCTATTTTATAATTCTGCATTTTTTCCATTGTTTTGATGCGAAAAGTTTAAAAATCGAAAAATTAGAAAATCGGAAAAAATGAAAAACCCAAAACTTGAAAAAATGAGAAACTGAAAAATCAAAAAAGTGGAAAATCGAAAAATTGTAACTCGAAGAATTCAAGAAAAGAAAAATTGAAACATTGGAAAACTAAATATGTAGAAACTTAAAAATCGTAAAAAATAATTAATCCAAAAATGGGAAAAAAAAATCTGAAATCGTAAAAATGTGAAAATTTTAAAAAATTAAATAATAATGTATTACATATTTAAAATGAAAACTAGAAAAATTGCAAATCAAAAATTGAAGAAACAAAAAATTGAAAATTGCACAAACTGAAAAATCTAAAATCGAAACGAAAAAAGTGCAAATCGAAAAATTACAGAAATCAAAAATCCAAAAATCAAAATATGCATTGTAAAATCGAAATATTGAAAAATTGAATAAGTGAAAAATTATAAAGTCGAGAAAATGAAATTCAAAAATTCAGGACAATGAAAAATAAAACTCAAGAATTTGAAAAAATGAGGAAACGAAAAACTGAAAATTAAAAAATTTGAAGTTGAAAAATTGCAGTATCCAAAAATTGGTCAAAAGTAAATAAATCCAGATTTTTCAAAAAATATAAGATTTGATTTTGCGAATTTCATTTTTTATGATAATCCTTGTATTATGTGAGAAATCCAAAAATTGAAAAATTGAATAAACGAAAAATTATAATTTTTTTTAGTTTCAGTTTCATAATTTTTCGCTTTTGCAATTTCCCAGTTTTTATTTTTTGGTTGTTCAATTTTTCAGATTTTTGATTTCTATTTTTCATTTTTCCGATTTTTTAATTTTAATTTTTCAATTTTATATCACAATTTTTCTTTTATTTTTCAATTGTTCGAGTTTCCAATTTTTAATTTTTGGTTTCCCAATTATCCGATTTTCCGACTTCTTTAATTTCCAGTATTTCACTTTTACAATACATTCTTTTTCAAATTTGCACTTTTCGATTTTTGACTTCCTCAATTTTATTCTTTCAATTTTTCGTTTCTTCAATTTTTCAAGTTCTTAATTTCCAATTTTTAGAGTTTTCAAAGTTTTTTTTTTTTTGATTTTCCTATTTTACTATTTTGCATTTTTTCCATTTCCAACTAGAAAAATTGCAAATCAAAAATTGACGAAACAAAAAATTGAAAATTGCAGAAACTGAAAAATCTAGAATCGAAACGAAAAAAGTGCAAATCGAAAAATTACAGAAATCAAAAATCGAAAGATTAAGAATTGAGAAACTTAAAAATCGAAAAATCAAAATATGTATTGTAAAATCGAAATATTGAAAAATTGAATAAGTGAAAAATTATAAAATCGAGAAAATGAAATTTAAAAAATCAGGACGATGAAAAATAAAAATCAGGAATTTGAAAAAATAAGGAAACGAAACACTGAAAATTGAAAAACCAAAAATGAAAAATTGCGAACCGAAAAATGGAAAAATTTGAAGTCGGGAAATTGAAAAATTGAAAAAATTCAAATTGAAAAAACGAAAAATTGCAGTATCCAAAAATTGGTCAAAGGTAAATAAATCCAGATTTGTCGAAAAATATAAGATTTGATTTTGCGAATTTCATTTTTTATAATCCTTATATTATGTGAGAAATGCAAAAATTGAAAAATTGAATAAACGAAAAATTATAATTTTGTGTTTTTTTATTTTTTAGTTTCAGTTTCATAATTTTTCGCTTTTTCAACTCTAATTTTTGCAATTTCCCAATTTTTATTTTTTGGTTGTTCAATTTTTCAGATTTTTGATTTCTATTTTTCATTTTTCCGATTTTTTAATTTTAATTTTTCATTTTTATACCACAATTTTTCCTTTATTTTTCAGTTGTTCGAGTTTCTAATTTTTAATTTTTGGTTTCTCAATTATCCGATTTTCCGACTTCTTTAATTTCCAATATTTCACTTTTACAATACATTTTTTTTCAGATTTGCACTTTTCGATTTTTGACTTCCTCAATTTTATTCTTTCAATTTTTCGTTTGTTCGATTTTTCAAGTTCTTGATTTCCAATTTTTAGAGTTTTCAAAGTTTTTTTTTATTTTTGATTTTCCTATTTTACTATTTTGCATTTTTTCCATTTTTTTGATGCGAAAAGTTTAAAAATCGAAAAATTAGAAAATCGGAAAAAATGGAAAAACCCAAAACTTGAAAAAATGAGAAATTGAAAAATCGAAAAAGTGGAAAATCGAAAAATTATAACTCAAAGAACTGAAGAAACGAAAAATTGAAATATTGGAAAACGAAAAATGGAGAAACTTGAAAATTTAAAAAAGAATCTGAAATCGTAAAAATCTGAAAAATTTTTAAAAATTATATAATAATAATTTATTACATATTTAAAATGAAAACTAGAAAAATTGCAAATCAAAAATTGAAGAAACAAAAAATTGAAAATTGCACAAACTGAAAAATCTAAAATCGAAACGAAAAAAGTGAAAATCGAAAAATTACAGAAATCAAAAATCGTAAGATTAAAAATTGAGAAACTTAAAAATCGAAAAATCAAAATATGTATTGTAAAATTGAATAAGTGAAAAAATATAAAATCGAGAAAATGAAATTTAAAAAATTAGGAAAATGAAAAATAAAAATCAAGGATTTGAAAAAATGAGGGAACGAAAAACTGAAAATTGAAAAACCAAAAATGAAAAATTGCAAACAGAAAAATTGAAAAATTTGAAGTCAAGAAATTGAAAAAATGAAAATTGGAAGAACGAAAAATTATGAAATTAATTAATTGAAAAATGAAAGAAAATGAAAAAGACGAAAAATTGCAGTATCCAAAAATTGGACAATGGTAAATAATTTAATAATAATAAATAAATTTCATTTTTTTATGATATATGATTTATCTTAGTGAGAAATCCAAAAATTGAAAAATTTTAAATCGGAAATTCAAATATTGAAAAATTGAATAAACGAAAAATTATAAAATCTTTGGGTTATTCAATTTTTCGATTTTTCAACTTTTCGAATCAAAAAACGGAAAAATTGTAAAATTGGAAGAATAAAAATGAAAAACGAAGAAGTATAAAATAAAAACTGAAAAATCTAATAACTGGAAATCGAGAATTTGAAAAATTGAAAAATCGAAAGATTAAAAATCGAAAAATTGAAAAATTTGGAAATCGAGAAATTGAAACAATGAACAATTTTAAAATTCAATAATTGAAAAATGAAGAAAACGAAAAAATTGTGATATCAAAAAATTGATCAAATAAATCCAGATTTTTCGAAAAATTTAAAATTTGATTTCGGAAATTTTATTTTTTATGATAACCCTTATAAGTTAAAATAAAGATATGTTCGTGAAAAGTAAAGCTAAAGGAGCGTGCTACGCGTTATTTCAAGTGAGTAAAGGAGTATCTTATTTTATAAAATTGAAAAAATTTCTAATTTCAAATGATGGTCGTGAAATTGTATTTCTGGTTGCGTCTTGAATTTTTTAGGCGTGGATTTTTTCATGAATAGCCCTATATGTTTCATTACAGTAAACGCCTTCTTGACTGTGTCCCTTAAGTTGCAGCAGGCGGAAGTAAACAAAGTAGAGTCGCTCGAAATAAACCAGACACGGTCTTGCGGCCCAGTTGTAGTTTTAATTTTTTATCCCGTGACCTATTTTTTATGAACATTGTGCCAATAAAAGTCCATAACAAATAAACACTGTGTGTAGTTGAAAATTTTTTATTTAGTTTATAAGTGTACTCGACATTAAGGACAGTTTCGAAAATACCGTCTAAAGTAATAAAAAAATGTTACCTTCTTCATAACCCCTGTTATTTGAAACAAAAAGTCAGTCACCACCCCAACACCGTTTTCCATTTTCCAGATTAAACTCGGCCGAAGGAAATATAGTGGCCTTATTTCACCAAATCCAGCGGGAGCGCCTGCAGCTCCAGCTCCAACTCCAGAGCGAAAAAGCCGCCGCCCCCCAGTGCGAGCCGCTCACGGCGCCCCCCTTCGACGCCGTCCACCCGTCGAACGAGAACCAAGAGAACAGCAGCAACTCCATCACTTGCGACGTGTGCGAGAAGATCCTCAGCTCCCGCTCCAACTACATCAGCCACCTCAAGACCCACATCTTCGACAACTTCTGCCGCGTCTGCTGCAACAGCTACAACACGAAGTTCAAGCTCAACAGCCACTTCACGTGCCACAAGGCCGGCGAGGACTCCCCCCAGCAGTACGTCCAGTGCGACTTCGACAACTGCCAACAGAGGTTCCCCTCCAAGCTCCAGCTCCACAACCACAAGTACGCCCACTCCAACGTGGTCAAGTTCAAGTGCGAGACCTGCGGCGTGGAGTTCGTCAAGGAGGCCGCCTTCGAGATCCACAAGCAGAAGCACCGAAAGCGGATAGTGTGCAAGATCTGCAAGAAGGAGTTCTCGAGCAAGAAGACGCTGAGGGACCACAAGAGGATCCACACCGGGGAGAAGCCGTTCAAGTGCCAGGTGTGCAACCAGCGGTTCCGGTGCCAGAGCGGACTCAAGTACCACGAGGTGACGCACACGAACGAGAAGAAGTACAGGTGCGAGCTGTGCGGGGTGAGCTTCCTGAGGTCGAACTACCTGAAGGAGCACCTGAGGATACACTCCAAGGAGAAGCCGTTCGAGTGTCCGCACTGCAACGAGAAGTTCATACAGATGGGGGTGCTGAAGCGGCACGAGCAGAGGATGCACGTGACGTGCGACGAGTGCGGGGTGATGGTGGGGAAGAGGGTGGACCTGAAGGAGCACAAGTGGACGTGTCATACTCTGGTGCTGAAAAAGTGACTCGATGTTGCGGAGTTTTGCGTTTTCGTTTTGGAAAACAGTGATATATGTATTTAGTTACACGTTTCAGGGATTTTTCGTTTTTGTACAAAGCTGGATGTCTCGCTGTGTGCTGAAATATATGATGCGGCTGTAACGAACGACTGTTTTATGCACACCCTCACACATTTTATCTACCAGCATCTGGGGTGAACACTATCGCTCTAAATTCCGCTAATTCTTAGTTATCTAGTTTACGAGTTGTTAGTACACGATTTGGAAGTTTGTTTACCTCTCGGAGCACACCTATAAAACCCTTAATAGAATAGAGTGCGAAAAAAGCGGTCTGCGGTTTCCGTCCGTCTGTCTGTCTGATTGTTGCGATCTCCAAAATTTACAACACTGTTATAAAAATAAAAATTGTGTAACAATTTTCCGAATGATTTGGAATCTTACAAACGTTTTAAGGTTATTGTAATCGTGGTAAATCGTTAATCAAAATTTATTCGTTTATCCCTCTCAAAAAATTGATCTCAAAATTTTGCCGAATAAATCATCTCAGATCTTATAATTGTTTGAAAAATCTGGATTTATTTACCTTCGACCAACTTTTTCATATCGCAATGTTCATTTTCTTTCATTTTTCAATTTTTTCCACTTTTCAGTACGTATCGTAAAAGTGAAATAGTGCAGGAAATTAAAGAAATCGAAAAATCGGGTAATTGGGAAAACAAAAATAAAAAATTAAAATCACGAACATGAAACATTGAAAAACCGAAAAATTTAAAACTCTAATGTCCAAAATTGGGAAACTGCTAAAATTAAAGTTGAAAAAGCGAAAAATTATGAAACTGAAACAACAATGGATTTTTTTTTATAATTTTTCGTTTATTCAATTTTTCAGTCTTTGATTTCCAATTTAAAATTTTTCAACTTCTGGATTTGTTTACCTTCGAAAAACTTTTTGATACCATGATTTTTCGTTCTTTCAAGATTACAATTTTTCAATTTTCACGTTCTTGATTTTTATTTTTCATCTTTCTCAATTTTTAATTTTTCGTTTATTCAATTTTTGGATTTCGCATAATACAAGATAAGGGTTATCATAAAAAAATTAAATTCACAAAATCAAATGTTATAATTTTTCGAAAAATCTGGATTTATTTACCTTAGACCAATTTTTTGATACTGCAATTTTGTTTTTCATTTTTCAGTGAATTAATTTCATAATTTTTTGTTCATTAACTTTATTTTTTTCAATTTCTCGACTCCCAATTCTTTTTATTTTTCATGTTCCTGATTTTTTAAATTTCATTTTTTCGATGTAATAATTTTTCATTTCTTTAATTTTTCGATTTTCAATTTTTCGTTTCTTATAATATGTAATAACTTATTATTATATAATTTTTTATATTTTTCGATTTTACAATTTTTGGGTTTTCCAATTTTCGTTTCTTCTTTTTTCAGTTTTTGGATCCATTATTTTTTTAGATTTTTAAGTTTCTCGATCTTTAGTTTTTCAATGTTTCAGTTTTTTGCTTCTTCAGTTCTTCGAATTACAATTTTTCGATTTTGCAATTTCTCGTTTTTTCAGATTTTTGATTTTTTCATTTTTTTCCGATTTCTCAGTTTTTCGATTTTTCAACTTTTCGCATAAAAAGTATGGAAACAGTGCAAAATTGTAAAATAGAAAAATCAAAAATGAAAAAAAAAACTTTAAAAACTAAAAATTGGAAACCAAGAACTCGAAAAATTGAAGAAACGAAAAATTCGAAAATCGAAAAGTGCAAAACCGAAAAAATAAAATATGCATTGTAAAGTGATATATATAGGAAATTAAAGAAATCGGAAAATTGAGAAACCAAAAATTGAAAATTTTAAAAATTGGAAAATTGAACAATTGAAAACTAAAGGAAATAAAAAAATGAAAATTCAAAAATCGGAAACGTGAAAAATGAAAATCAAGAACCTGAAAATTGAAAAACCGAAAAATAAAAAACTTTTAATATCCAAAATTGGCAAAATTAGAGTTGAAAAAGCTAAAAATTATGAAACTGAAACACTAAAAAAAATGGGAAATTTTTTTTATAATTTTTCATTTATTAAACTTATCAAATTTTCAATCTCTGGTTTCCAATTTAAATTTTTTTCCGATTTTTTAGTTTTCCGATTTTTCAACTTTTCACATCAAAAATACAAAAAAAAAATCAATTTTTGCTTTCGGTTTTTCGATTTTCCGAATTTACAATTTTTTAGTTTCTTGATTTTCATATTTCATTTTTTCAGTTTTTCAATTTTTCGTTTTTTGGAAAATCGAAGAATTGAAAAAAAAAATAAAAATTTCAATTTAGCAATTTTTAGAGTTCCATTTCTCCGATTTCTTTAATTTTCAATATTTCAGTTTTACAATACATATTTTGGTTTTTAAGTTTCGTAATTTTTTGTTTTTCGGTTTTTGAATTTTTTTTTTGATATGCAATTTTTAGGTTTTTCAAAGTTTTTTTTTTCATTTTTGATTTTTCTATTTTACAGTTTTGCGCTTTTTCCAAGGATTTAAAATTCCAAGTTTTCGATTATACAATTTCCATATTTTTCAAGAAATAAATGCGTATGTATTTAGATTTTTCATTTAATTTTTTTAGATTATTCGATTTCCCAATTTTTCAATTTTTTGTTCTCCATTTCTGATTTTTCAGTTCTACAATTTTGCAATTTTTCTATTTTTGCTTTTGATTTTTCGATTATTCGATTTTTCAGTTCTACAATTATACAATGTTACGATTTTTCATCGTTAGATATTCTAATTTTTCTAGTTTTCAAGAAAAAATTTTTAAATTTTTGCTATTAATTTTTCGAATTTTCATTTCTAAAATTACCATTTTTCAGTTGTTACATATTTTAATCTCTCGATTTTTCAATGTTTCGTTTCTTTAATTTTTCGAGTTTTCAAGTAAAATGTTTACAATGTTTCGATTTTTCCATATTTAGATTTTCAATTTTTTAATTTTAATTTTTTTGAAAATTTCAGTTTTGCGGTTTTCAATTTTTGCAATTTTACAATAAATATTTCGTTTTTTAATTTTTATTAGATATTCTAATTTTTCAAGTTATCAAATTTTTTCCAATATTTCGATTTTATCAATGTTAAGATTTTCAGTTTTTGGTTTTATTATTACATATTTTGGTTTTTAGATTTTAATTTTTTTCAATTTTAGCTTTGGTTTTTGGATTTCCGTATTTAACAATTTTACGGTTACTCGATTTTTCAATTTTAAAATGCCGATTTTTAATTTGTCAGTTTTGACTTGATTTTTCGAATTTTTAATTTTATGATTTTTCAATGCGTACATATTCAGATTGTTAATTTTAAAATTTTTCGATTTTTCGTTTTTGCTATTTTTCAATTTTTTGTTTGTCAATTTCTCATTTCCACAATTTTAGAATTTTTCGATTTTTCAAAATTCTACAATATTTCGGTGTTTAATTTTTTGATTTTGCAGTTTTTAGTTCTCAGTTCTACAATTTTACGATTTTTCCATTATGTAATGATATTTTAATGTACCGTGTTTTCAAATTTTTGTTGCCTCAATTTTCGAGTTTTCGGGTAAAAATTTTTCAATTTTTGTTGCCGATTTTTCGAATTTTCAGTTTTAAATTTACCATTCTTCAATTATTTATTGCATACAAATTTTAATCGCCCGATTTTTCAATATTTCGTTTCTTTAATTCTTCCAGTTTTCAACTAAAAATTTTTCAATATTTCAATTAGATATTCTAATTTTTCGAGTTTTCAAAATTTTTTTTTCAATGTTTAGTTTTAATTTTTCAATTTTTGCTTTTGGTTTTTCGATTTTCCGAATTTACAATTGTACGATTACTCGGTTTTTCAATTTTTCGTTTTCTCAATTATTCACTTTCTTGAATTTTATTTTTCATTTTTCCGATTTTTTAATTTTCATTTTTTCAAATTTTCGTTTCCTTTATTTTTGCAATCTTTGGTTTTTCGATTTTTCGATTTTGGAAAATTTGAAATTTTCAGTTCAGCAATTTTTAGAACTCTAGTTACCCGCCCCCCTTCGACGCCGTCCACCCGTCGAACGAGAACCAAGAGAACAGCAGCAACTCCATCACTTGCGACGTGTGCGAGAAGATCCTCAGCTCCCGCTCCAACTACATCAGCCACCTCAAGACCCACATCTTCGACAACTTCTGCCGCGTCTGCTGCAACAGCTACAACACGAAGTTCAAGCTCAACAGCCACTTCACGTGCCACAAGGCCGGCGAGGACTCCCCCCAGCAGTACGTCCAGTGCGACTTCGACAACTGCCAACAGAGGTTCCCCTCCAAGCTCCAGCTCCACAACCACAAGTACGCCCACTCCAACGTGGTCAAGTTCAAGTGCGAGACCTGCGGCGTGGAGTTCGTCAAGGAGGCCGCCTTCGAGATCCACAAGCAGAAGCACCGAAAGCGGATAGTGTGCAAGATCTGCAAGAAGGAGTTCTCGAGCAAGAAGACGCTGAGGGACCACAAGAGGATCCACACCGGGGAGAAGCCGTTCAAGTGCCAGGTGTGCAACCAGCGGTTCCGGTGCCAGAGCGGACTCAAGTACCACGAGGTGACGCACACGAACGAGAAGAAGTACAGGTGCGAGCTGTGCGGGGTGAGCTTCCTGAGGTCGAACTACCTGAAGGAGCACCTGAGGATACACTCCAAGGAGAAGCCGTTCGAGTGTCCGCACTGCAACGAGAAGTTCATACAGATGGGGGTGCTGAAGCGGCACGAGCAGAGGATGCACGTGACGTGCGACGAGTGCGGGGTGATGGTGGGGAAGAGGGTGGACCTGAAGGAGCACAAGTGGACGTGTCATACTCTGGTGCTGAAAAAGTGACTCGATGTTGCGGAGTTTTGCGTTTTCGTTTTGGAAAACAGTGATATATGTATTTAGTTACACGTTTCAGGGATTTTTCGTTTTTGTACAAAGCTGGATGTCTCGCTGTGTGCTGAAATATATGATGCGGCTGTAACGAACGACTGTTTTATGGACACCCTCACACATTTTATCTACCAGCATCTGGGGTGAACACTCTATCGCTCTAAATTCCGCCAATTCTTAGTTATCTAGTTTACGAGTTGTTAGTACACGATTTGGAAGTGTTGTTTACCTCTCGGAGCACACCTATAAAACCCTTAATAGAATAGAGTACGAAACAAGCGGTCTGCGGTTTCCGTCCGTCTGTCTGTCTGATTGTTGCGATCTCCAAAATTTACAACACTTTTATAAAAATAAAAATTGTGTAACAATTTTCCGAATGATTTGGAATCTTGCAAACGTTTTAAGGTTATTGTAATCGTGGTAAATCGTTAATCAAAATGTATTCGTTTATCCCTTTCAAAAAATTGATCTCAAAATTTTGCCGAATAAATCATCTCAGATCTTATAATTGTTTGAAAAATCTGGATTTATTTACTTTCGACCAACTTTTTCAGATCACAATGTTCATTTTCTTTCATTTTTCATTTTTTTCCATTTTTCAGTACGTATCGTAAAAGTGAAATCGAAAAATCGGGTAATTGGGAAAACAAAAATAAAAAATTAAAATCACGAACATGAAACATTGAAAAACCGAAAAATTTAAAACTCCAATGTCCAAAATTGGGAAACTGCTAAAATTAAAGTTGAAAAAGCGAAAAATTATGAAACTGAAACAACAATGGATTTTTTTTTATAATTTTTCGTTTATTCAATTTTTCAGTCTTTGATTTCCAATATAAAATTTTTCAACTTCTGGATTTGTTTACCTTCGAAAAACTTTTTGATACCACGATTTTTCGTTCTTTCTATTTTTTAAGTTTCTCGAGTTCCAAATTTTTCAATTTTTCGACATTACAATTTTTCAATTTTCACGTTCTTGATTTCTATTTTTCATCTTTCTCAATTTTTAATTTTTCGTTTATTCAATTTTTTGATTTCGCATAATACAAGATAAGGGTTATCATAAAAAAATTAAATTCACAAAACCAAATTTTATTATTTTTCCAAAAATCTGGATTTATTTACCTGTGTGAATTAATTTCATAATTTTTTGTTCTTTAACTTTATTTTTTTCAATTTCTCGGCTCCCAATTTGTTTTATTTTTCATTTTCCTGATTTTTTAAATTTCATTTTTTCGATGTAATAATTTTTCATTTCTTTAATTTTTCGATTTTCAATTTTTCGTTTCTTATAATATGTAATAATTTATTATTATATAATTTTTTATATTTTTCGATTTTACAATTTTTGGGTTTTCCAATTTTCGTTTCTTCTTTTTTCAGTTTTTGGATCCATTATTTTTTTAGATTTTTAAGTTTCTCGATCTTTAGTTTTTCAATGTTTCAGTTTTTTGCTTCTTCAGTTCTTCGAATAACAATTTTTCGATTTTGCAATTTCTCGTTTTTTCAGATTTTCGGTTTTTTCATTTTTTTCCGATTTCTTAGTTTTTCGATTTTTCAACTTTTCGCATAAAAAGTATGGAAACAGTGCAAAATTGTAAAATAGAAAAATCAAAAATGAAAAAAAACTGAAAACTCTAAACATTATAAACCACGAACTTGAAAAATTGAAGAAACGAAAAATTCAAAAATCGGAATGTGGAAAACCGAAAAATAAAATATGCATTGTAAAAGTGAAATACTGGAAATTAAAGAGATCGGAAAATTGAGAAACCAAAAATTGAAAATTTTAAAAATTGGAAATTCGTGCAATTGAAAAATAAAGAAAATGAAAAAATGAAAATTCAAAAATCGGAAACGTGAAGAATAAAAATCAAGAACCTGAAAATTGAAAAACCGAAAAAGAAAAAACTTTAATATCTAAAATTGGGAAATTGGAAAAATTAGAGTTGAAAAAGCGAAAAATTATGAAACTGAAACATTAAAAAATGGAAAAAAATACAATTTTTCATTTATTCAACTTTTCAAATTTTCAATCTCTGGTTTCCAATTTAAATTTTTTTCCGATTTTTTAGTTTTCCGATTTTTCAACTTTTCACATCAAAAATACAAAAAACAAAGTCCAAAATTATAAAATAGAAAAATCAAAAAATGAAAAAAATCAATTTTTGCTTTCGGTTTTTCGATTTTCCAAATTTACAGTTTTACGATTACGCGGTTTTTTCTATTTTATAATTTTTCGATTATTCAATTTTTCAATGTTCAATCTTTGATTTTTCGATTCTTCGGTTTTGAAAAAAAAAAAAATCAATTTAGCAATTTTTAGAGTTCCAGTTATCCGATTTTCCGATTTCTTTAATTTTCAATATTTCAATTTTACAATACATATTTTGTTTTTTAAGTTTCTTAATTTTTCGATTTTTGATTTTTTTTCTTGATTTGCAATTTTTAGGGTTTTCAAAGTTTTTTTTTCATTTTTGGTTTTTCCACTGTTTCCAAGTATTTAAAATTCCAAGTTTTCGATTAAAAAATTTCCCTATTTTTCAAGAAATAAATACACGATTATTTAGATTTTTCATTTAATTTTTTCGATTATTCGATTTTGTAATTTTTCAATTTTTTGTTTTCCATTTCTGATTTTTCAATTCTACAATTCTGCAATTTTTCGATTTTTAATTTTTCAATTTTTGCTTTTGATTTTTCGATTATTCGATTTTTCAATTCTGCAATTTTATAATGTTACGATTTTTCAAGCATTAGATATTCTAATTTTTCGAGTTTTCAAGAAACATTTTTTCAATTTTTGCTATTGATTTTTCGAATTTTCGTTTTTAAAATTACCATTTTTCAATTGTTACATATTTTAATCTCTCGATTTTTCAATGTTTCGTTTAATTAATTTTTCGAATTTTCAAGTAAAATGTTTACAATATTTCGATTTTTCAATGTTTAGATTCTCAATTTTTTAATTTTTGTTTTTTTTTTTAAATTTCAGTTTTGCGGTTTTCAATTTTTGCAATTCCGCAGTAGATATTTCGATTTTTCAATTATTAGATTTTCTAATTTTTCAAGTTTTCAAGTAAAATTTTTCCAATGTTTAGATTTTCAATTTTTGGTTTTATTATGACATATTTTGATTTTTAGATTTTTTTTTCAATTTTAACTTTTTTAAAATTTTTCGATTACTCGATTTTTCAATTTTAAAATGACGATTTTTAATTTGTCAGTTTTTGCTTTTGATTTTTCGAATTTTCAGTTTTATAATTTTTCAATACATATTCAGATTTTTAATTTTAAAATTTTTCGATTTTTCGTTTTTGCAATTTGTCAATTTTTAGTTCTCAGTTTGTCAATTCTACAATAATTTTAGAATTTCTCGATTTTTCAAAATTCTACAATATTTCGATTATCCGATGTTTCATTTTTTGATTTTGTAATTTTTAGTTCTCACCTCTACGATTTTACGATTTTTCCATTATGTAATAATATATATTTTCAAATTTTTGTTGCCTCAATTTTCGACTTTTCGGGTAAAAATTTTTCAATTTTTGGCTGCCGATTTTTCGAATTTTCAATTTTAAAATTACCATTCTTCAGTTCTTCCAGTTTTCACTAAAAATTTTTCAATATTTCAATTTTTCAAAGTTTTGATTTTAAGTTTTTGTTTTTTTTTTTGAAATTTTCAGTTTTGCGATTTTCAATTTTTACAATTCGACAATAGATATGTCGATTTTTCAATTTTACCATTTAACAATGTTACGATTTTTCAATGATTAGATATTCTAATTTTTCGAGTTTTCAACAAATTTTTTTTTTCAATATATACAGTTGTAATTTTTCAATTTTTGCTTTTGGTTTTTCTATTTTCCGAATTTACAGTTTTACGATTACTAGGTTTTTCAATTTTTCGTTTTCTCAATTATTCAGCTTCTTGATTTTTATTATTCATTTTTCCGATTTTTAATTTTCATTTTTTCAATTTTTCCTGTCCTTTATTTTTTCAATTAATAATTTTTGATTTTGGAAAATCGAAGAATGGAAAAATTCGAAATTTTCAATTTAGCAATTTTTAGAGTTCCAATTTTCCGATTTTTTTAATTTTCAATATTTCGATTTTACAATACATATTTTGTTTTTTCGGTTTTACACTTTTTTTTTAAGTTTCTTAATTTTTCGATTTTTGAATTTTTTTCTTGATTTGCCATTTTAATTTTTTTTTCATTTGTTATTTTTGGATTTTTCGGTTTTGCACATTTTCCATTTTTTTTGTTTCGAAAAGTTGAGAAACGTAAAAATCGAAAAACAAAAGAAAAAGTGGAAAATCGAAAAATTGTTATATTGAAAAACTAAAAATCGAAAAATTTAATTATTCCAAAAATTGGAAAAAAGAAAAAACGAAAATTGGAAAACCCAAAAATTGTAAAATCGAAAAATTATTATAGACTCGCTAGAATTGTAAAATCGAAAAACTGTACATTGGAATACTAAAAAATGTAAAAATTAAATATCGCCAAATTGGAAAATCAAGAAACTGAAAATTCTACAATTGAAAAATTCAAAAATTGAAAAACTGAAAAAATTAAAAGTGAAATAACAAAAAATTATAGAATCGGAACAATGAAAACTCGAAAAATTGTAAAAATAAAGAAAATACGAGTAAAAAACTGAGCTGAAAAATTGCAAGTCGAAAAATTCGAAGAAAAGGAAAATTAAAGAATAAAAAAACTGAAAAATTAAAAATTGAAGAAACAAAAAATGAACATTTAGGATGGGAATCGAAGTCTGGTTCCAGGTTACTTAAAATTCAGTTTTATTATTTAATAAAGGAGGGACATGTTTCGAGGACTTCAGTCCTCATCTTCAGCCATGTCACATGTACCGTAGCAACAGATAACATTTTTGTAATAGCTGAAGATGAGAACTAAAGTCCTCGAAACAGCCCCTCCTTCATTAAATAATAAAATTGAATTTTAAGTAACGTGGAGACAGACTTCGATTCCTAAATTTCTACAACCTCCAAAAAATAAGTTTTAATAATTTTTCAAAGAAGCGGTTGGACTTACTTCACGCCTATGGGAAGTTCTTCGACTAGTAATAGTGTAACCAATATGTGTTTGTGTACGTACCATTCTGGACCATACTATAAACCATACCATTAAGTATTATTACACCTCCCCTTTAACCACCTTGGACAAATACACCCCCTGCCCTCTTTTCCAGATCAAAACCCGAAATCAAAATCGAACCCGCCGACGCCGACGACCCACCCCACCCCAAGCCACCCGCAGGCCACTGCCACATCTGTGATAAAACCATCAGCAGAGCCCGCGACTTGAAGCGCCACATCTCCAGCTGCCACCCGGACACCCTCACCCAAAAACACTTCGACGAAGTGGCCGACCTGGCGGCGAAAACCTGCGTCGAGTGCGACCTGAAGTTCGACAACCGCACCAAACTCAAGAAACACGTCGAAGAGGTGCACCAGCTCAAGCAGAAGCGCCACCGCCGCAAAAAGGACGAGATTTCGCCGCGATTCTACTGCGACGCCTGCGACAAAGGGTTCACCAGGAAGTACGACATGGAGAAGCACCGAACCCAAGCGCATGCGCTCAGTCCGCAACGACAAGACAAAAAGAGGAAGTTGGATGTGTTAATTAAATGCAAGAATAGAGACTCGGACGGGAAAGTGTTCTATAAGTGTGACTTCTGTGAGAGGAATTTCGCACAGAGTTATAGTTTGATGAGGCATAGGACTATACATACGGGGGTTAGGGAGTATTGTTGTCATATTTGTGGTACGGGGTTTAGGATTTCGAATGCGTTAACGAGACACATAGAGTCGTATCACTACCAAGTTAAGAATTACAGCTGCGATGTGTGTGGGAAGAGCTTTACGGCGAGGGCCACGAGAGACGAACATATGAACATTCACACGAATACGAGACCGTTTGTGTGTGATGCTTGTGGTAAGAGTTTCAAGCAGAGGGCGAGTTTACATGTTCATAAGATGTTTCACTCGAATATGTACAGATTTGAGTGTAAAAGTTGTGGGAAGAAGTTTCGCAGAAACCAGGATTTGAAAGTGCATGGTTGGTTGCATACAGGACAACGACCGTATGCTTGTCCTGAGTGTAAAGCGGCCTTTAGATTGAGGCACGACCTCACCAGGCACTTGAAAGTTCACGAGAAATTAAAAGAGTGCGCTTGTAACGTGTGTGGGTCGGTTTTCAGTCAAGAAAGGTACTTGAAAGTGCATAAAAAAATTCATGGGAAAGGACAAACAGTGGGGAAGACTGAAGAGACGGCACAACAAGGGTAGTCAGTCTTTAAAACATATTGTGTTCATTTATAGCTATTTAACCAACAAGTTTATTAATGAAGGCGATTAATAATCGAGATATTTTAACGCGCGAGATTATTAATCGCGTTTTAACAAATGTGTTGGTTACAATGCTTTTTCGGTGATCGTAAATAAATTTTTTATAGTTATTTAAAAATTTAAATTTACTGAAATTATGCAACCAAATATACGCTTGTTTTTCCCCGCACCACGCTATAAATTCGCGGTATGTTTTTTCGTACAATATTCTACTCTTTTCCGGTAATAAACCTAACGACACCACATTTGCGGTCTCCACAACTTCTGGGGGAGTTAAACCTTGGTACTCATCCATTTTTGATGAAGCACTATTTTAAATTTATGACATTTAAAATAAATCTAGAGTCATCAAAATTGATTGAGAGAGTTGGTACCCCCGGTTTTTGCCGTGAGGTTTGTCAACCTTGTGACAGATTCGTTTAAGGTTATATGGCAATGAATTCAGGGGCGTGACAAAGAACTGGGGGTTGATTGTCGAACCTGTGGACTGGTTTTGCCAATGATTTACCCTCTACCCTTGATGTTCTTAGAGGTTATGCCATTTGGCAAAATCAGTCATATCTTAATAAATTCCAGCCCCATCCACTCGCCCTTTAGTTTCTTTGAGAATAGGCCATTTGGCAATATCAGACTTTCCTAGCAGGTACTAGCCCCGCCCACCCACCCTCTTTTTTTTAGAGGGTATCTTATTTGCCAAAATCAGTCTTATGCCGTCTAGTAGCTGTTAAGATAAAACTGATTTCGGCAAATGACACACCCTCTAAGAAAAGAAAGGGTGGGTAAGTGGGGCTAGTAGCTGCCAAGATAAGACTGATTTTGCCAAATAATGTCCCCTCTACTCTTCATTTTCTTAGAGGGTATGTCATTTGGCAAAATCAGCCATATCTTAGTAAGTACCAGTCCCATTCAACCGCGCTTCAGTTTCTTAGAAAATAGACTATTTGCCAATATTAGTCGTTATTATCTGGTAGTAGCCCCGCCCACCCGCCCTCTCTTTTCTTAGAGAATATCTCATTTACCAAAATTAGACTTATCCGATCTAATATCTGCTAAGATAAAACTGACTTTGGAAAATGACATATCCTCTAAGAAGAGAGAGGGTGGGTGGGCGGGGCTAATACCTATTAGGATAAGACTGATTTTGGCAAATGAGATACCTTCTAAGAAAAGAGGGGATGGGTGGGTGGGGCTAGTACTTGCTAGGATAAAACTGATTTTGGCAAATGAGATCTCCCTAAGAAAATAAAAATCGGATTGGCGGGGGTAGTACCTGCTAAAATCAGTTCTATCTTAGCAGCTACTAGCCCCGCCCACCTACCCTCTCTTTTCGTACAGGATGTCATTTGCCAAAATCAGTCTTATCTTACCAAGTACTAGCCTCGCCAGCCGCCTCCTCTTCTCTTAGAGGGTAGAAAATATTCAGGGTAGATTTCTCAAATATTTGTTTAATCGCGTACTCTTACTTGGAGCTTCTAGTGTTTTTTACTTCCCGAGCGTAAGCAAAGGAAGTATTGTAATCGAGTCCGTCGGCCGACTCTCTACTTTTACGTTTTCTCGATCTTTCATGACCCCTAGAAGACGAAGAAATAGGTCTCCCATTTCCGTCTGTCTGTCCGTCTGTCCGTCCGTCTGTCCGTCTGTCTGTCCGTCTGCCGTCCCGGATTTTTATTAGACAGATAATCTCCGAAAGTACTCGACCGATTGTTGTGAAATTTTGTACTTATATTAAGAATATCATGTAGATGGTAAAACGCTAACCAAAATTTGTCTAATCATCTCCACCACTAATGCGATGACGTCACTTCAAAATTGTACATAGTAAATGGGTTTTCAATTGTATAAAATAACATAGTCCTACACATGTAGTTTACAACTCTGAATCGACTTTTCACACGAAACGTCCAGATTTTTGGAAAAAAAATCAAAATTATAAAACAACATTTTGAAATTTAATTTTTAATCTGCTAAACAGAATGCTTTGAAATGTTGCAGATGTTTTAAGGCTATAAAGAGCATCATAAATCTTTAGTCAAAAAATATTTGCTTATCCCCTCCAAAAACTTGATGACGTCAGCTCAAAAGTTTGTGGAATAAATCATATCTAAAATGTGCAAAATAAGATGAGTCTGTACTTGTGATCTATCACTCCATTCATATTTTTTGGATTTGCATATACAGGGTGACTCAAAAAAATTAATGAATGCGTAAATTTATTTTACTGATTTATTCAGAAACTACAAAACCGAATGCTTTGAAATCTTGCAGATGTTTTAAGGTTATAAAGAGCATAATAAATGTTTAGTCAAAATATATTTGCTTATCCCCTCCAAAAACTTGATGACGTCAGCTCGAAAGTTTGCCGAATAAATCATATCTAAAATGTACAAAATATGATCAGTCTGTACTTGTGATCTATCACTCCATTCATATTTTTTGGATTTGCATATACAGGGTGATTCAAGAAAATAAATGAAAGCGTAAATTTATTTTACTGATTTACTCAGGAACTACAAAACCGAATGCTTCGAAATCTTGAAGATATTTTAAAATTATCATAAGCATGGTAAATTTTTGATCAAAACGTATTTGGTCGTCCCCCCTAAAAAATTTATGACGTCACCACAAAATTTTGCTGAATAAATCCTATCTAAAATGTACAAAATATGGTGAGTCTCTTCTTGTGATTTATCATTCCATTCAAATTTTTTCGATTTGCATATACAGGGTGACTCAAAAAAATTAATGAATGCGTAAATTTATTTTATTGATTTAATCAGGAACTACAAAACCGAATGCTTTGAAATCTTGCAGATGTTTTAAGGTTATAAAGACCATAATAAATTTTTAGTCAAAATATATTTGGTTATCTTCTACAAAAAACTGATGACGTCGCTCAAAAGTTTGCCGAATAAATCGTATCTAAAATGTACAAAATATGATGAGTCTGTATTTGTGATTTATCATTCCATTCACATTTTTGGATTTGCATATGCAGGGTGACTCAAAAAAATTAATGAAGGCGTGAATTTATTTTATCGATTTAATCAGGAACTACAAAACCGAATGCTTTGAAATCTTGGGAATATTTTAAAGTTATTATAAGCATGGTAAACTTTTGTTCAAAATGTATTTGTTCATCCCTCCTAAAAAAATTGATGACGTCACCCTTAAATCTTGCTGAATAAATCCTATCTAAAATGCAAAAAATATGATGAGTTTGTACTTGTGATTTATCATTCCATTCATATTTTTTAGATTTTCTTAAGAGGTGGTTCAAAAAAATTAATGAAGTCAATTTATTTTATTGATTAAATTAAAGGCAACACTTATTATTAGTATTACACCCCAACCAACCCAATTTGGTAGACACAAAATTTGTTAAAGGAAAAACTCGGTTGAAACATAAGGGTAGCACGCTTATTTACATCGACTTTAACATTACAGACCTGCATTTGTTTTATGCGTTCACTTGGTTCCGCGAATGTGAAATAGACATGTTTATAATCAACCAATTGTGAATTTCACCGTCAAGAATTAAAATAAAACCCAATGTTTTATATAATAAGCGGAAGTCGAAGCAATAAAACCGATGGTCGTTTTGTTTACAGTTTCTCTGTTTGACTCTCACGTATGCTGTTACGCCTATCATCTTAAATTAAGAATGTTTATACATACACGATTTTCAGTTGCCTCTGATACGTATACGTGAGTAAATTGTTTCGTTATTTTATTGATTATAAGAAATCAATATTCAAAACGACCCAATTCATTTTCCTGAAAATTTGGGAACACAATAATTTTATTCTTAGTATTACACTACATCTATCCCAACTGATATACGTGTCCTTGCAAAAATGTTGATGACGTCATCGCATTTTTTTTTAAATTCCCACTACAAAAATGTAATGAGAAAAAAAACACAATAGGCATGCAGTCGTCAAGTTTCAGACAGCGAGGGAAGTACTGTCTAAACTCTTTAGACCAATTTTTTTTATAATAATTTAATTAAGTTTCTTAAAGGATACGCCACTTGCTAAAATCAGTCTTACCGTAGCAGGCACTAGCAGTTGGTGTAAATGTCAAATGTATATCTGGTTGCCTATATCAAAGCCATTAAATCATTCATTAATAGCCCTTATTAATGAATGATTTGTAGAGAGAAATCATGCATTAATGAAACGCGTTAATGACAGATCACCGGAAAAATTGTTTAAGGTAAATAAAGAACTGAATAACAATGGATATTTTTTTTATTATACCAAAAAAATATCGCTAGTACAAATAATATATATACTCAAATAAATATTCCGCCAATGTAAATTTGTAGGTACCATATCTACAAAAAAACTAAGCTGTAAACATGCTCTAAACTAACTATATCACAATAATCAATCTAATTTGGTTTGAGAGATACCTCCTTAATTAAACCCCACAATTTGATAAACCGTACTGTGTATGAGTAGTGAAATATGTATTATTGCATAAATCAACAAATAGGGGTATTTAAAAATCCCACAAACTAATCACTCGGCAGCCGTCGCTGTGGTCTCCTGACTGTGGGTGGATTCGCGCCCCAGCGAACTCCCAGGCGACTCCGAATTTTCATTAATAAGCCTCTGTCTCTCCCTATACATAGAAACCCGAATATTTTCCAGTTGGTGGTACCGGCACAACTTCAATAGAGCAAAAACCGTGAGTCCCACCCATGTCGCAAAAGAGCCCCAAACTCCAAACTGTGCAGTCCCCAATTCAATGTAAAAGTTGGCTGTATTAATACCATCCTGTTTATCAATAGCTTGACCTGCAGCCAATTCACACCTACAATCACCAAGATAGAGAAAATCGCGACTGTTGTGAGACTTACGAAGGAAAGCGTTGTGTCATGTTCTGGCACCAAACCATAAAGCCTAATGTAATCATCAAAGCCGCAATTATGGTCATTCCACACAGGATTATTCCAATCAATACGTCAAAAAATGCCGACAAGAAGCTACTATCGGTTCCTCTGTATAAAAATAATGATAAACAGTAGATCTGGGCGATTGACACTAGACACAAGACAACGCCTACGAAGATTGTGTAGTTGCAGTAACATTGTGACGCCCAGTCGACTTTCAATTGACCGTCGGCTTCCTGCCATTCCCCAGTCGAAAATAACAAGCAGTGCCCCCTGAAACGCAAAACTGGCTTGTTTGTTTTGATAATGTTATCACTAACCTGAATTCATCTTGGTGCAAACTCATGGGTACCACGATGCATAGTGATAAGATAAACGCTATCACGTAACCAGCGATTTGGCTAAGTAATACGATATTACTTAGAGCCATCACGAAGACTTGCTTTTACGCCTCACAAAAAAACATCCGTTGCGAGTTTGACGTTCCGCTACTAAACAATGACAATGACGCATCTGTCAAAGTCAAACGGCAGTGCTGCCATGTCAATGTCGTGAAAGTCACTGCACAATGTGACGATTTCGGAAATATTTTGATTCAGAGTTGTCTACTACAGGAACAAAAATAACTGAATTTTAGTTTTTTATTTAACAGTAATAAATATCAAAGGGTGTGGTCGGTATCCGAGGTGTCTGCGGTTTTTTCTGGCATGTTGTCGTCCAAACAGCTTTCAATCGTCTCGGTTTTGGCCAAGTGAGATTCAATCATATTCATAAAGTGGCTCTTTTCGTAATGGGGGTGGTTTATGGTTTCCCTACAAAAACAAACTTAAAACTGGACTTTTTCGAAAGAAAAAACTCACTCAAATACGGACAAAATTTGCTGCGGCGTCAGCTCACCAAACTGCGTGAAAATATTCATATTCTTAAAATAGTCTTTATGTTTCAATTTCGGCAACATTATGTCGAGTCCGCAGCCCGGAACCCATTTTCTGATCACAAATGTCGCTAATAATGGTTAAGTGCACAATTTATACTTACTCTAGCACAGGAATTACTTTAGTTGTTCCTCTACCAAAAAACTGATTAACAAATGAGTAAAAAGGTAGTAAGTTATCTGCCGCCACTGGAAGATTTCTTTTAAAATTGATCTTGACGAAGTACATTTGGTCGTTGTCGATCTGGCCAGGCTGTCGCATTTTAATTAAAAAAACGGAAAAAACGCTGTCAAAGTACTCACGTAACGACGAATTTGTTGAGATTTTAAAGATTGCCAGGGAAGAAAAACTTCTCTGGGAAATTTCTCCAACAGTTCGTAATTAAAAAATAAATTAAAAATGACCGACGACCGTTGATATGTGTGTAGATTCAAATGGGGGCCAGCGGTCAACACCTACACAATTATAATATGATTTACTATTTTATAAAAAAAAATCAAGAACTCACTATGAAGTCTCTAGGTCTCATGAACACATACAACTGGATTCTACCTAAAGACACCACAAAATTTTGTAAAACTAACGATTTCATTAAAAACCGAACAAAGTTCATGTTGGGGAAAGACCCGATGATTGTCATTACAGGACCTGGGAAAAATTTTTAATTTTATTATTGTACAACGTGTTCACGTACCATCATCCCAGTTTTTTCTAGGGACCCCTTGAAGCAACTGTTCCACCCTGCTACCGTTATCCTGCTTATCTATGTATGCGTATCGGTGCAAAAGAAAAATGTCTTTGGAAAATAATTCTATGCGACCTTGGAAATCTTTAAACTTTTCCTAAAATAAAAATTAACAATAAAATAAATATCAAAAGAATGAAGTTGTTACTTTGAGGTACTCTTTAAACTCGCCACAGCCTTCATACAGTCGTACTAATTTTATTCCACTTTCAAGTAATTCAGATGTTATTAAACCCAGTCCTGCGTTCGTTTCACAGATGATTTGATCGTGGTTTTTTCGTACGCCGGGAATAATGTAACTCGCTGCTTGTTTCGCTACGGTACTATCAATCAGGTACAAATTGTCCGGAGGGGTCACTCTTTTGAGTGCTAGGTAATTTTCCGGAATATGTTTCTTGATAGCTGCTAGGTGGGGGCTTTTTTGGAAAAAATTCTTGATTTTTACTTTATGAGATTTCTTGTCTTCGGGAGAAACTACTTTAGTGGTTTTCTTTGGGCGAAAAGGCTCTTCTGGGTTTGCTTCAATTGTAACACTGGAACTTGTAGATTCATATCTTTTGCTTGAGTATATTTGTAATAAGAGATTTTTGTTGGCGTAGTGTCGTGACAAGTGTTTTGAACTCATTTTCGTGAAAAATCTCACGAAAGATCATTGTTTTGTGTGATTTTACAATTCTAATTTTAGGTTATGTCAATAGCAACAAATGTCGCCTGTCATTTTAACTGTCAGATTTAAATTTACCCGCGCACTTCATGACGTAAAATAGAAACAATTTTACTTTTCAAAATTTATTTATCCATACACAACACAACGTAAGCAAACTGCTTAAATCCTCCATTCTTTCAATATGTAAATGTTATCACTTCTTAACATGAACCTTATACAATTATGAATATGAAATGTTATGATTAATCAATTCTACACAGCAATGACCTCGATAATACATTTAGTGTAAGACAAGAGACTTATATACATTGATAAAAAATCGTTATCACTTTGAAAAATTTCATGCGCTTACATCCAAATTTCACAAAGCAAGAATTGCGTTTATAAACAGAAATCGAATTACATTGTACTACTAAAATAACCCATCGTACAAACACATTTTGTGCCTTACATCTCACTTACGACTACCTGTAATATATTACTTATCCCTTTAATGTTATATACATAAACTCTCTAAACACAAATACAAGTTTCACTTATCTCCACTGCAACAAAATACGGAAACAAAAGATGCAATAAATAAATAATCATATAAAGGATTTACAAACACTTAACATCAGTCCTCTAGAATAATACTATGTTGACTATGCAATACAAAAATAATTCAGTCAGATTTATATGATGGACGTTAATAAGACAGCGTACTACAACAAGTTAATTGAACCGTTTTTAACATGAATTGCTAATCGATTAACGGATTGATAATAGCAAGCATTAAATTGGAGCAACTATTATTTGCATGGAATATAACATATTGTCTTAAGTGCATTCTCGCCCCACCCACTCTCAGTAAATCTTCGGTGCCGATCGGTCGTTGATCACCTTGGCGCGCCGCAAGGTGGCGCCACGCTTGATCTGATCCATCAGCGACTCGTGGCACACTTTCGGATCCGGCTGCAAACAAAACTCAGTCTTTTCCTCTTTTCTCCATCCGTACTCACCTGAGCCTTGCTGTTGATAAGCTGTCGAATCATTGTCGCCTTATGCTGCGAATTCTGAGTATTATTACTGATATGTTGTTGCGCCAGTTTTGCATTCAGCGAATCGAGGAAGCTCTGCCCCGGGCCCCTCTGCGACAGCTTGATGGGCGGCGACTGCACCAAGTCCTCCGAGTGTCTCCGGGAGGTGCGGGGGCTCAGGTTAGGGGTCAGCTTCGCGCTCAGAGTGGCTATGAAATTAGACCCAACTCCCACGGGCCCTAAATTGACAAAATTAAAACATTGGTATTTTTTTAGGTGACAGTTGTTCTTCACCTGATTTTCGGTCCGCGCTCTGCGATCTAAAACTGTTCGCCCTCCTCGTCGCCGTCGGGCTCCCCCCCAGCACCTGCGACGGCTGCGCGTACACGACGCCCCCCGACTGCGACACGTACGACACTTTGGTCTGGCTCTGGAACGTGCTCAAAATCGGCCCCTGCGAAGTCGGCGTGGTGCTGGTCACGTGACTCTGGTAAATCGACTGCGACGACGCGGACATGCGTCTTATCGAGTTGGGACTAGCTGGGGTGTGTTTCAGTTCGGTTAAAGCCTTGACAGTTTCGGCAACTTTGACACCTGAAATTTCCCAGGTAAGATTTTGTCGCGTCTCTGTACGTGAGCTAACCTGTGTGGGGCTTCTGCTGCTGCGACTGCTGGGAAGGTTCGAGAAGAAAAGCCGGCGGTGGAGGAAGATTTTCGAGACTGCCCATCGAAGTGGGATGGTTGTTGTTGGAAGTATTGGTTATGGAAGAGGTGCGGCGGATCGGGGGCGGCGGCTTGTTCACTTGCATGGACGCTCGGCGAGCTAGAGTGCTCCGGATGGTTCCGGTCGAATATAGCGCTAGGAGAACGGGGTTTTTAGCCGGTGAGTTGGTAGCAATGATTAAATGACAATGAGGAGGCGACTAATTGAAAAAGCTGGACTAAATGGTGTTTTTGAAAATTTCTCGTGCTTCGGTTGTCGTCGTAAGTTAAAAACATTTTTTTGAGTATCATTCGATTATAGCATTTATCATAAAATGATTCGTACATCTAATAAATGACAATTCAAATGTCATACTTATTCTGACAGATGACATAATACGAACTAGTGTCTTTTTTTTTGTAATTTGAAAGAATCTCGGGGACTTCTAGTAACTTTATCTTTAAAAACGTTGGGGGAATTTTTAAATGTAAAAAAATCTCGGAGATTCCTAGTGTCTTTTTTAAGAATGTCAAAAAAGGTCAGGTCAGGTTGTTTTAGGTTAAATCATGTCTAGTTAAATCTGGTCGTGTTAATTCTGCTCATGTCACGTGAAGTCCGCTCCTTTAGAAGAAAAAAAGTCAAAGAATGCTTAAAATGGTATAAGAATCCCAGGGGCTCTTTGTGTATTTTTTTATGAATATGAAAAAATCCTGGAGTCTTTCAGTGACTTTTTTTAATTTGAAAGAATTTCGAGCATACCTAGTGTCTTTTTTTAAAGCGAAACAATCTCAGGGACTTCAAATGTCTATTTTTACTTCCCGAGCGTAAGCAAAGGAAGTATTGTAATCGAGTCCGCCGGCCGACTCTCTACTTTTACGTTTTCTCGATCTTTCATGACCCCTAGAAGACGAAGAAATAGGTCTCCCATTTCCGTCTGTCTGTCCGTCTGTCCGTCCGTCTGTCCGTCCGTCTGTTGTCCCGGATTTTTATTAGACAGATAATCTCCGAAAGTACTCGACCGATTGTTGTGAAATTTTGTACTTATATTAAGAATATCATGTAGATGGTAAAACGCTAACCAAAATTTGTCTAATCATCCCCACCACTAATGCGATGACGTCACTTCAAAATTGTACATAGTAAATGGGTTTTCAATTGTATAAAATAACATAGTCCTACACATGTAGTTTACAACTCTGAATCGACTTTTCACCCGAAACGTCCAGATTTTTGGAAAAAAAATCAAAAGTATAAAACATTTTGAAATTTAATTTTTAATCTGCTAACCAGAATGCTTTGAAATGTTGCAGATGTTTTAAGGCTATAAAGAGCATCATAAATCTTTAGTCAAAAAATATTTGCTTATCCCCTCCAAAAACTTGATGACGTCAGCTCAAAAGTTTGTGGAATAAATCATATCTAAAATGTACAAAATATGATGAGTCTGTACTTGTGATCTATCACTCCATTCATATTTTTTGGATTTGCATATACAGGGTGACTCAAAAAAATTAATGAATGCGTAAATATATTTTATTGATTTAATCAGGAACTACAAAACCGAATGCTCTGAAATCTTGCAGATGTTTTGAGGTCATAAAGAGCATAATGAATGTTTAGTCAAAATATATTTGCTTATCCCCTCCAAAAACTTGATGACGTCAGCTCGAAAGTTTGCCGAATAAATCATATCTAAAATGTACAAAATATGATGAGCCTGTACTTGTCATTTATCACTCCATTCATATTTTTTGGATTTGCATATACAGAGTGACTCAAAAAAATTAATGAATGCGTAAATATATTTTATTGATTTAATCAGGAACTACAAAACGGAATGCTCTGACATCTTGCAGATGTTTTAAGGTTATAAAGAGCATAATAAATGTTTAGTCAAAATATATTTGCTTATCCCCTCCAAAAACTTGATGACGTCAGCTCGAAAATTTGCCGAATAAATCATATCTAAAATGTACAAAATATGATCAGTCTGTACTTGTGATCTATCACTCCATTCATATTTTTTGGATTTGCATATACAGGGTGATTCAAGAAAATAAATGAAAGCGTAAATTTATTTTACTGATTTACTCAGGAACTACAAAACCGAATGCTTCGAAATCTTGAAGATATTTTAAAATTACCATAAGCATGGTAAATTTTTGATCAAAACGTATTTGGTCGTCCCCCCTAAAAAATTTATGATGTCACCACAAAATTTTGCTGAAAAAATCCTATCTAAAATGTACAAAATATGGTGAGTCTCTTCTTGTGATTTATCATTCCATTCAAATTTTTTCGATTTGCATATACAGGGTGACTCAAAAAAATTAATGAATGCGTAAATTTATTTTATCGATTTAATCAGGAATTAGAAAACCGAATGCTTTGAAATCTTGGGAATATTTTAAAGTTATTATAAGCATGGTAAACTTTTGTTCAAAATGTATTTGTTCATCCCTCCTAAAAAAATTGATGACGTCACCCTTAAATTTTGCTGAATAAATCCTATCTAAAATGCAAAAAATATGATGAGTTTGTACTTGTGATTTATCATTCCATTCATATTTTTTAGATTTTCTTAAGAGGTGGTTCAAAAAAATTAATGAAGTCAATTTATTTTATTGATTAAATTAAAGGCAACACTTATTATTAGTATTACACCCCAACCAACCCAATTTGGTAGACACAAAATTTGTTAAAGGAAAAACTCGGTTGAAACATAAGGGTAGCACGCTTATTTACATCGACTTTAACATTACAGACCTGCACTTGTTTTATGCGCTCACTTGGTTCCGCGAATGTGAAATAGACATGTTTATAATCAACCAATTGTGAATTTCACCGTCAAGAATTAAAATAAAACCCAATGTTTTATATAATAAGCGGAAGTCGAAGCAATAAAACCGATGGTCGTTTTGTTTACAGTTTCTCTGTTTGACTCTCACGTATGCTGTTACGCCTGTCATCTTAAATTAAGAATGTTTATACATACACAATTTTCAGTTGCCTCTGATACGTATACGTGAGTAAATTGTTTCGTTATTTTATTGATTATTACAAATCAATATTCAAAACGACCCAATTCATTTTCCCGAAAATTTGAGAATATAATAATTTTATTCTTAGTATTACACTACATCTATCCCAACTGATATACGTGTAGGCATGCAGTTGTCAAGTTTCCGACAGCGAGGGAAGTACTGTCTAAACTCTTTAGACCAATTTTTTTAAGAATACAAAAGAATCTCAGGGACCCTGAGTGTGATTTCCTTTAAGAATAAGAAAGAATCTTGGGACCAAAGAGTCGTTTTTTTAAAGAATGGCAAAAGAATCTCGAGGACACCCAGAGTCTTTTCTTAGTGTGAAAGAATCTCGGAGGACCCTAGTGTCTCTTTTCTCTAAGAATACCAAAGAATCTAAGAGGCCTATAGTGTCTTTTTAATTTATTAAAAGAATCTCACGGACTCCAAATGTCTTTCTTCTTTAAAAATACGAAAGAATCCCTTTCGATGGTCCTTGGTATCTTTTTTTAAATGCGAAAGAATCTCGAGGTCACTGATGTCTTTTCTTTTAAGAATACAAAATAATCTCAGGGACCCTGAGTATGCTTTCTTTTAAAAATAAGAAAGAATTCTCTGTTAGCAAGTACTAGTCCCGCCCACCCACCCGCATTTTCTTAGAGGATATGTCATCTGCCAAAATAAGTCTTATCTTACCAAATACTAGATAATAATATTAACTTTTGTGAATTTCACAGACACCAGGTGTATGAAACATTCATTTATTCGCAAATGTCCCTACGAAACAATACCACAAAAGATCGCCAGATGGCACTGCGCTACATAACCTAAAATATTTTCTTTTTCAGTACTATTTGTACAATGGATGGCAAAAATGTTGCACATTGCGCATCCTTTCTGTCAAAAACACCTCTATCTTTCAAGCCAACTCCCTAACCAAGCAAACTCAAAAATGTAACTAACCACTTCCCAAAAAAACTAAAAGTGCACATGATCATTACCTGTCATGGATAGCGGCCTTCTTCGTGCAGCATTGAGGTCACTGTTGCGTGGAAGCGTGCAATACTTCATAGCCGAATCGTTAACATCTAACAACACACACACTAATAGTCACACACATGCTCGTAAAAACACTGGGTTAGTTAAAACTAGGTATCGTGTTATACAGGGTTAAAAAAACTGTAAAACCATGCTAGTGTTTCGCCTGTTACGTGGAAAACTTACCTTCGGCATGGCCGGGATCTTCGGCGGTAAAAGTTGTCTGACTTCCGTAGCCACTAGACGACTCTAAAGAACTCTCACTAGTGCTGCCATCTTTCTCACCTTCAGTCGGAGCCTTCTCGTTGGCGGGCGAACCGATGAAGTCTGCTGGAGGCGGCGGCAGCGACGTTTCTTGCGCTTTGTTGGCGGCCATGCTGGCTAGGTCGTGCATATTGACGTAGGTGGGCTGCGGAACGTCTGAAAAACCCCCTCACTAAGTGTAAACTATACGAATCGAACCTACTTTTGGCCAGATGAGCTGGAAGCGGCGACGGTTTCTTCATCAACACCTGCTCGGTGGTGGTCGGAGGGAGCACGCGGACACCCTGCATGCCTGCGATGGTTTTGGCCGGGATGTTGGGACCACTGGGGCGTTCCAAGGACGAGCATCTCTGCAAACCGTACGTCAGATTGGCTCGATCGAAAAAATTTTGGCTTACAGTTGGCAGTGGCGGCTTGTTCGGATTGGACTTGATCGAAGTGGTCGGACTTCTCGGCGGCAAAGTTTTGCTGTTGCTTTCAGTCGGCGTTATCGACGTGACTGGACTTACAGGCTGCGAAAGGCTCTGTTCCGGCGCTTGGAATGTGTACACTGTAAGAGGAGGCCTTTGATGACCTTTTTCATACGCTGCAATGAGATGGTGTGATGATACAGCAACGTGATTGGTTAAAGAAGTGAGTGGGTTTAACAAATTCATGCGAAAATCGTGCACGTTCAGTACCTGACGAGATTGTATGCGGACGGTCGTTGATGATGGCCGAGGCGGCTCTTTCGAACTGGATGGTTTCCTGCAGGTTCGGCCATGTCGATGTTGTTGTTGGAATGACGGCTGCCGGGAAGGGAGTGCACGGAGTACTGGAACTACTGCTGTTGCTACTGTGTTCGGACATGTTGGAAACCTACAATAGCAAATAAATTCAGCTACGATGCATAGTTTCAGAGATAATTGATATTCAGTTGTGACCTCGACTCAGGTATAGAAATTTCGCGACCGTTTCGTTCTTTACCTGTGCAACACTAAGCGACGACGGAGGTCTGGGATACAAAGTATCTTGGGACGTAAATCCAGAATCCTGGCTAGAGACCGACATGTATCGGATAGTACCACTACGACCTACAGGCTGTCGCCACAAAAACAAAAGAAAAATAAACAACTAAAACAAAATCATACAAATAAAACTAAAAGTAGCTACGTCGTCATACTCCTACCGTGAAAAACTCAAAAAACGCACTACAAACACGAACTGGAGTACCTGCGACAAAGATCGTTGCCAGTGCGGATGGCTCGGCGAGTGGTGGCTTTTCGAACTGCCCGAAGAGGAACTGTTAAGTGAGCTAATTGAACACATCGATGATTTCCTTGAGCCGAGACTGGAGGGCGACGACGGAGGCGTCTGGAACGACCAGCCGCTGTCCGAACTCTTCAAGTCGGCGATGACCTGCTGGGACGCCGGCGGCAGTGACTGCGGGTCAGCTGTGTGTTTCTCCAGCTGCTGGACGGCCTCTTGCAAGTGCGACATCTCGGTCAACATCGCCACCTCCTCATCCTGAAAAAAACAATCAACAAAATTGAGAATCCCGGCGCCTCCACCATTCCAAGTTTGAATTAATTTAATTGTAGTTCTTACCACGACGGGTTTGAGGAGACCGACGAACGTGCAGAAGCGGCCCCGCTCCTCGATGAGGGCCGCCCTGACGGCGTGCTTTTCGGTCTCTTCCAGTAATTGACGTCTCTCGGTGACGTCCTGCAGGCCGCACTCTAATCTCTTCTGCAGGTCGCCGCCGGCGCCTTTTCGCATCTTCTTCTGCAGGCGCAGCGTGTCGGTGGACCGCTTTTTCAATTCGGACCTTGCCCTTTTGTAATCTGAGGAGAGAAAGAGGATTGCGGTCGGCGTGCTGAGGGTTGCGTGTTTGCGGTTTACCTTTGGCGTGCTCCTTGTCCAGGTTAAGTACGGTTTTTTTCCAGTCTTCTAGCTTCTCTTGCAGGGGGATGATCAGAAACTCCATGATTGTGCTGGAATTGCGACAGACATAGTGATACATGCGACATTAAAAAATGGTAGCGGTTTTGGCCTTCCGCTGTCCCCCATAATTACAGTTTAATTTGTCAAATGAACAAAAACGTGACGTTACGAGATAAAAGAGCATCACTTAGTCACGTGTGACTTGATATCTTCTACATGGATGAGTCAATAATAATCAAGCGCTCCCACTGCCCACGCCGCTCTGACGAACGAACCAGAAGAAAATCAAATAACAGGGGGTAAAAAAATCGCGGAAGTACCCCGTCGCAAAAGCGCCATTTTAACACTTGTGACGCAAACGGGGCAATTTTCTTTCGGCTAAAAATATACCTTGTAAATGTCTTCATCCGCGCTTCCACGGCTTTATGCCTCAGACAAATCCTCGTCAGGGCGGTTCCTATTTCTCGGGTGGCTCCTGCAACAAAACGAAATTTCTCCTTAAGCGTGATAAATGAAAAACTGAGATAATAAAAACATAAAAATTTACTTCGTCTCCCTGAAATCCGCTCCCTACTAGTTTAACAGATGGTTGACGATCAAAAAATTAAATTCGAACAATGCAAGGCCGTTATGGTCTCGTAATTTCGTCAATAAACCTGCCCGTAGCCGCGGTCGGGTTAAATAACAAAAGCAGCGTAGGCTTTGTAGAGAGGTTCAAGAGAGATAGTCGGGAAAGTAAGATAATAAAAAGACAAAAAGATACGCCTCGGCGGCTATGCCCTTCTTGAGTTAAGTGCACTGGACTGGTGTGCAAGATGGAAAAGGCGATACGTGAGAGAAGAATTGTTGACCCCGATGTCCACGGTACTCACTACTTCAACAACTTTGTTCATCACACGCGGCCTTTTTCTTTGTTCGGGAGCGCAGAACAAAGAATATCAATGACAAAACAGTCATTACACTATCTCTTGCATGAGGGAGCAGGTGGTATGTACCAGATTATAACGTGCAATTTACAGAAACGAGCTAGACAAGTTCGAAATTCCACGATCAAACTTTGTTGTTCGAACGTTAACGTCGTCGTAAACAACAGCGAATAACGCAGGCTCGAGTACGCACCCCGATGATCACAAAATTGTTAATGAGTTGTTGATGGAAATGAAATTTTAATAAGAGTGTTAATTTTATATTGGAACAGTTGCTATGTAAAAAAAAAAATAATAATTATAAATAAATGATTAACAAAACGTCGGCTGACAATTATTTTGAACCAAGTCCATTTTTTCTTAAATAATAGATTTTGTATCATACAGTCTCCTGTTATGAAAATATAGTCTTTTGAAAGAGTATAACTTTCTACATTTACAGTAAAAGCAATTAGTTGAAGTATTTATTTGAACCAAGTCCTATTTCGTTCGATTTTGTAGAATTATATTGTAACATGTCCTATTTCATATCAAAATCTAGCATTATCTACTAGCCATCAGTGTTGGGCAGTATCTAGATACTTGTATCTACAAAAAGTATCTAGATACATTTTTGGGTATCTAGTATCTGTATCTAGATACAATCGAATTTAAGCACAAAATATCTGCATCTAGATACAAAATTAATGGCGCAGATACAGATACATTTTTTAATTTCACTTTTTTTTTCAGTAGTTATTAGTTGAGTTATACTAGTAGTAATTTTTGATACTTCATGTTGGTGATTTTGGTCACATAAACAAAAATAGAGGTAAGACGTCCACTAATAGTGTTCTGTCACGGAAATTTTCATATTTTAAATACCATCATTTCCTACATTGTAGCCTTCAGTACTTATGCGTATCTTTAAGTATAATCCTGAGGGGTAATAAATCTTAGCCATGGTAAGATGGTATTTTAAAAAGTATAAACCACAATTCACTAGTCACTGCGTTTTACCCTTATCCGGGGCAATGCATTTTATCTGTGTACCTGAGCAACCCGGGTCCGGTAGGCCCGCTGGTTGTATTTGTGTTATTAAATACGAGTAATTTTAATAGTAAAAATATTTGTTGCAAAATCCATATTGCCATTTTAACTATGTTCTAAGTTTCTTGTTGTGAGAAGATGGCTATGTATATTAAAAAAAAGGCAAAATATAAGTACCGCCCACCCGCCCTATCTCAATTCTGATGATTTTTTTATTCGTCATAAGCCGAGGGGTGGAGCTTCATTGTAAAATCCTTATTTTTCAACGAGAAATTTGCTTAAAACATGATGAAGTATTTCATTCCGAAAAATTACACCATTTTGTACAAATTTCGTGCTTTTTAATTATTAATTTTAAACCAGTAATGGAAAAAAAGAAGGCAAATGACATTAAAGCTATGCTTAAATATATGGCACAAACTGATCGTACATTCTACGAGAAATATTTATATTAAATTTCTTATAATAGGTACATATTTAGTAGATTTTTCACAAATTTTCCATTAAATGAAGTTAATAATGTTTCCAGTTATTTACCTAAATATTAAATATTTTGTATTGTCTTAAATTAAAAATTTGTTTTGATATGTATGTATTCATTCTTGTTATTACAACGGACATGGTTCAATAAACAAAATTCTAGTAATATTTTTTGCATACTTTTGAACCAAGTCCATTTTCACTTTTTGCATTATTCTGAAATTATTGTTGTTATGGGTATGCCAAGTAGTACGGCAATAAATACGACAATAATTAAAATATTTAGTAGTAATGGTAAGTATTGTTTTGCATTACAATATCTATAGCACACGATTAAAATTTTGATGGGTAATTTCCATGACAAAGTTTTTAGGGACTTGGTTCAAAATAATTCTCAGCTGACGAAAAGTTAATTTTCCAATTTTCTAATAAAAAGAAGTAAAAGTAAAAACCAGAAATCACAACAGGTTATGGGCCGAGAGTACTCGCAAGTACTGAGGCAGTAAAGCTAGAAGAAGAAATTTTAGAACCTTAACGAGAGATATAAAACTCGAAAAGGAAGAAAACGTATTTGACAGTGACATAAGAAGAAAAAAAAACAAAAATAATGGCATTGACAGAAGAGGTGAATTTAATAGAAAAGCTCAAAGATGAAACCACGTATCAGTTGTGGAAATTTCAAATAGTAGTAACATTTAAGGCTTATGATCTGTTTGGAATAGTAAATGGAGACAAGCTTCTATCTAGTGTGGAAAAGGAGGAAGATAAAACTAAATGGGTGAGAAATGATGCAAAAGCGCAAAAACTAATTGTGACGTCAATAGACAAAAAGTACATGATGCACATTATGGACTGCACCACCTCCAAAGAAATGTTCGAAAAAATCAAAAATATTTTTGAAAGAAGCACTTCAGAACAAATATGTAATTTGCTGCAAGAGTTCTACAGCTACACATTTGGAAAAGGTACTGATATGGCTACTCACATTAGCAAAATAGAGAGTATTGCACACAAATTAAAAAGTCTAAATCAAACAGTTGATGACAACATGTTAATGTCAAAAATACTGTCATCTTTACCTCAAAGTTATGGTTTCTTCAGGACTGCCTGGGAATCTACTCAAGATAATGAGAAAACCTTACCAAAATTGATAGCAAGACTACTATCCGAAGAAAACCGTAGCAAGGAAAGTGAGAGAGATATTGCATTTAAAAGTTCAGAAAGATTTTGTAAACATTGTAAAAGTAGTTCGCATGATACAAGATTTTGCCGAAAATGGAAAGAAAAGGGTGCTCGCGAAGTAAAATGTTTTAAGTGTGGATGCTCTGGACATATTGCAAATAACTGTCCCAAAAAGACAAATAACCAATGCAAGATTTGCAAGAAAACAAACCATAAAGAGCAAGACTGTTTTTTTAGAGATAAGACAAAATCATTAGAAAAAAAGAAGATAGCCTTTCTTACAGAAGACAGAAGATTGACAACGCAAGATTTTATAGTTGATTCAGGATGTTCATCCCACATGGTCAACTCGAAAGTGATGTTTACAGCATTAGAAAATTTCGAAAGTAGCATACAAGTTGCAAAGAAGAATGAAAAAATGAAGGCAGAAGGGAAAGGAACAGTTGAAGGAAGTTCATGTATACTGAATGATGTACTTTTTGTACCCGAATTAAGCAAAAATCTACTGTCAGTTAATGCTATAACAGAGAATGATGGTGAAGTAACATTTACTAAAGAAAAGGTAGTAATAAAGAAAAACAAAGAAAAAATACTTGAAGGAAAAAAAATTGAAAGTGGTTTATATATGGTTAGTATAAATCAAAGTAAGGAAGAGAGTTATCTTGCAGAAAATACTTCAGTAAAAGACTGGCATAGAAAGCTAGGACATTTGGGAACAAAGAATATAAAAAGATTAATAGATCTATCGACAGGCATGAAACTGAATAAAAAGAAGTGTCAAATGGGTTTCTGTGAAGTCTGCATGGAAGCAAAGCAAACAAGACTCCCTTTTAATACAACGAGACAGAGGGCAAGAAGACCACTAGAAATTCTACATACAGATGTATGCGGCCCAATCGATCCTGAAACTTGGGATGGAAAACGATACATTTTAACAGTGTTAGATGATTATACTCATTATTGTAGAATTTTTCTATTGAAGTATAAGAGTGAAGTATCAGAACATTTAAAAGATTTTATTAGAGAAACAGAAGCTTATCATAATCAAAAGGTAGTAAAAATACGTTGTGACAATGGTGGTGAATATACGTCATCGAATTTTAAACTCTGGACAAAAAATAAACGCATTGTTCTGGATTATTCTATACCCCATAGTCCACAACTAAATGAAAAAGCAGAAAGATTAAATAGAACCTTATTGGAAAAGGCAAGAGCGATGATATTTGACAGCAAGCTAAGTAAAGATTTTTGGGGCGAAGCTGCGTATGTAGCAGCGTATCTGTTAAATCGAAGTCCTACAGAAGCAATAGACAAAACACCAATAGAATACTGGACCAAAATGAAACCTGATCTGTCCAGATTACAAATATTTGGTTCTGTAGCATATGCAAAGACACTGGGAAATTTACACAAACTTGACCCTAGAAGTAAAAGGTATCTTTTTGTAGGATATGCACCAAATGGTTACCGCTTATGGGATGAAAAATCTAAGGAAATAAAAATACACCGAAATGTTATCTTCAATGAACCAGGTAGTCAATCTTTGGCTGATTACAGAAGAACAAGCAAAATAAATGTTATAGAAAGCGACGAAGAAAATCAGGAACAGAATGCAGAACTAGAAGAAAACAATACAGGTGAAAATTCAGAAACCGAAACTGAAAATGAACAAGACATTAGACAAAAACCAAATCAAATAGAAGTACAAAATATAATTTTGGGAGAAGGAGAAGGCATCACAGAATCAAGAAGAGGAGAAGGCATCGCAGAAACAAGAAGTGGAAGAAAATTAAAACAATCTGTAAAACTTAAAGATTATATTGTAAACTTTGTTGAAGAAGAAGCGTTATTGACTTAT